GTACAGTTGTGTACAGTGTGTACAGATGTATACAGTTGTGTACAGTTGTGTACAGTTGTGTATAGTTGTGTACAGTTGTGTATAGTTGTGTACAGTTGTGTACAGATGTGTACAGTTGTGTACAGTTGTTGTGTATACAGTTGTGTAGTTGTGTCAGTTGTGTACAGTTGTGTACAGTTGTGTATAGTTGTGTACAGTTGTGTACAGTTGTGTATAGTTGTGTACAGTTGTGTACAGTTGTGTACAGTTGTGTATACAGTTGTGTACAGTTGTGTACAGTTGTGTACAGATGTGTACAGTTGTGTATAGATGTGTACAGTTGTATACAGTTGTGTAGAGTTGTGCTTGTGGCAGCACATGGATTGATGCTGTTGTGGAGAGTGGTGGGAGAGCGAGCAGAGGGATAGAGGTTTGTTGCCCCTAATGACAGAAAAGATGTTCTACTTCTGCTGGTTCTGTTTAAAATCCCCCAACACAAAGACGACACTTGTGGCTGCAGCAAACTGACACAAATAAACCTGATAAATCTCAACAATGTGAATATGAGTTTTTAAAAAAAATAATAAAATCCTGGAGGTGTACATCAGTGAGGAGCTCTGCTGGACCACTCGCCTCACCCACATGTACCCCACCCTCCTCACCCACATGTACCCCACCCTCCTCACTCACATGTACCCCACCCTCCTCACTCACATGTACCCCACCCTCCTCACTCACATGTACCCCACCCTCCTCACTCACATGTACCCCACCCTCCTCACTCACATATACACCACTCCCCTCTCTACACACCAGGAAGCAGGAATCTGCATTTCCCTAAACAAATTGAGTCTTTCCCTTTTATTTTATTATTATTTAATTTAGAAGATTGAGAGTGAGAACATAATTTCAACTTTTCATACGTTCATGTTGAATTGAATTGAAATTGAAAGTGCTGTGTGCTCTCAAATGTGCGGTGTTTAAAGTGTCTTAGTGAAGGGTGAAGGTGCTGAGTGTCACTTCTGTGGAACAAACCGGTCTGTTTGTTCCACAGAGATTCGGTGCCTGTGTTCCAGTAGAACTTTGGTACTCCTGGTCTCTGCACTCAGTCCCTTTTTCAAAATTCACACAGAGTTTCAAACACCTTTCAACTAAGTCCCAAAAGCAGCGTGCCTCTGCCGCTGTCTCTGTTCACTGAATTCATTTACTGCACAAAGAGAATCCACACATTTGAAGTTTGAGGCACTATTTCCCGTCTCCCTCAGATACAAGAAACGTTTGATCCACCCACCAGTCGTTGTTATTAGGCAGGGTGGTGGTTAAAACAAAAAATCCTACTATAACAAGCAACACATTTTGGTGTGAACACACCTCTCACAGTCAAGAGAGTTGGAATGTTTGGTCAGTTTTGGATTGTTCTTACTGCTCTTACTGTAAAGGTGCACATGCTGATGTCTCGGTGGTCTGCTGAATGTTGAAACTTGCTCCATAGAGACAAGCAGGTCAGTTTGCAGGTCAGATCTGTGGACGGGCAAGCGCACACACAATGCATTTTTCAAGGTATATTTTCAACATAAATACAGTAAATGCAAGATGGATACTTTAAAGGTTGTATGGAGTCAGTGATTATAGAGATGCAGTCGCCTTGTAATTATGATGACCAAAAAAAAGAATAAAAATTCATCAACTCTGGACGTGGTGGGGCTAAACATTTGCCAATAGATAACGACACTGCCTCGTTATCTGTTAGCTGACAGGCTGTCAATCAAACTCCCTACGTTTCTAGTGTAACTGACTTGCCTGCGCGCTGCCATTACGTGGTTTACGTACGACTGTCACGCAGTCCACAGACGCTGTTTACTCCACCAACGCAACAGTTCTTAGCGGCTTTTTTTTACCTATATCTTCCTCGCAGTTCGCACAAAGTTTGTTGCAATGACGACAAGAATCCAGGAGCAGTTCGCCGCAAAAGAGAAGTCCGTTTTTGAGGTCGCCTGAAAGAAGAAGACAAGGGGAAAAGCAGCGAAGCCAAACTAAGGTGATTCTTGAAGATTCATTCCAGCGATGGCGCAACTGAAGCAGACGCAGGGTCTAAAGACTGACGCACTGGTCCACAAATTACTCCTGGACAGGAAACTTCTGCTTATTATGAAAATGTACTTTATTTCCAAGAGCTAGACAAACGTTTTTCAGGACACGAATGTGATATCCTGTGTCTGAAAACCCCTCTCTGCACCGCTCCCCTCTCCTCTCCCTGCTCCCTGTTCCGCTCTTTCCCTGCTCCTCACTTTTTCTCCGCGCACGGAATCTCTGCGCACCACTCCCCTCTCCCCTCTCCTCTCCCCGCTCCGCTCTTCTCCGCTCTTCTCCGCTCTTCTCCCCGCTCCTCACTTCTCCGTCTTGCCTAACCAACACTGTAGTTAGTTGTTTACAAGTCATGTGCAGCACCGGCTGTAAACAAACCTGTTTCTGGCGTAAGGAGGAGGCGGGAGAAGGCGTTTCTACGTAGGAGCTGCAGGGGAGGGGGGGTGGTTTCACGCATGCGCAACATTTGAAAAACGACAGTCGCTGGATTTCTCATTCATTGGAAACATTACAGGCAATAGCGTTGTTATTGCGACAAGAAGATGGTGTTCCCTCCTCTTGAAAAGCAACATGGTGGAACTTTAATGATTAAATGCAAATGAACAATGACTGGTTGCAGTGTGAAAAGCATCTGGGCTAAAAACTTGGCAAAGCACAACAGAAAAAATTACATGAGATTTAGATTTTGTATGTATTTTTTGGAGTATAAGTCGCACAAGCCAAAAAAATGCACAATGAAGAAGAAAAAAACACATGGGTCTGGTCAAGTGGTAACGGAGGGAAACAGGGGCAGATTTTGTACATTCAAATGTCTCTTATTCAGAAACTATTCAGGACTATTGAAATAAGTAAAGTATCAGAATGTAGGAAAGAGTTACACTCCAACAGGGTCAAGTTAAACCTGTGATATTCTTTCAAGTTGTTGACAGAAAATAAAAAAAAACAGTGATAACTCTTGGTTCTCACTTCCATATCCTTAACAAACTGGTTTGAATATTTGCTTCATATAGTTTTCTACCATATGGTACAAGATTAGGTTGAAAAACCTCTTACTTTTTGACTCATGAGATTTTTTATTAAGAAAGGTCATGGTAACGGAGGGAAAAGTAACGGAGGGAAAATTGTGCAAACAAGTAGAAGGTGCAGGATTTTACATCATTTGTCAGTTTTTTCTTCCAAATACTTTAATATTACTTCAAAATGAAAGGAAACTATTTCTATAAAATATGTCAGTCCTTCCAAGCTAATTTTTATCATATTAAATACTTTTTTTTTTTTTGAAAAATCCTGTACCTTCATCAACAGTTCAAAGATGGAATAACACAAGATATGATGAAATACATCCATTTATTGACATGATTTTCAGGTCTTTGAAATTTGGGAAATAATTTTTGTTCCATGTTTCATACATGGTCTGTTTAAAACATATGGAACTTTAGAACCAAAAATGGTACAGAAAAAAGGTCAACAGTTTGATAAACTAGAGTACATATGTATCTGTTCAATACATTTTTATATCAGATGCATGAACTTGAATTTTTGGCTTTTGTTTACTTCTGCTTGACCGGACCCATATGTAAGTCAGTGGCACGGTGCCTGAGTGGCTAACACTCATGCCTCCCAGCAAGAAAGTTCTGGGTTCGATCCCCGGGTCGCCTGGGCCTTTCTGTGTGGAGTCTGCATGTTTCTCCACATGTCTGGACGGGTTTCCTCTGGGTGCTCTGGTTTCCCCCATCAACCCAAAACATGCTCCAGGTCTCCATAAACAGTTGATAGTCAAGGTCAGTTAACGACAATCAATGTCTGATCAATGAAATGATCCAAATGATTCTAGTGAACGTGTATGGAGTTTAAAAACACAGTGGAGCACTTCCTGTATCACCACGACATCACAAGGTGGAACTCGGCTTAAGCAGCAGGAATTGTGTAAAACGTGTAAAATCGATATATATCCTCCACCCTAATATAATACTTTTATTTTGAAAGTTTTTACACAATATTTGCAGGACTAATTGATTTAAATGAAGTTTTTTGTAAAGTAGGACACGATCTAGCAGAAGGGGGACCAAGTCCTTGTTTTGCAAGTCTCTGACTTCAAGTCCGAGTCAAGTCCCAAGTCAAATACAGGAAAGTCCAAGTCGAGTCTCGAGTCACTGGTCCATAAGTCCAAGTCAAGTCCAAATCAAGTCCAAGTTGTCTGCTTTGAGCTTCAAGTCATTTCAAGTCTTTAAACCAAAAAAGTCACAAATTATTTTAGATTTTTGCGATTTAAATGACTTTTAAACTAAATTGTATTTAACATGTCATATTATAATTAGTATTTATAGAGGATAGAAGTTTTAAAATATCTTGACAAGATCGAGTATGAATCATTACTGTCAGAATTGAACAAATTGAGATTTAAACTGCTCCTCAAGTCCCAAGTCGAGTCCCAAGTCTCAGTCTTGGGGGCGGCAGTAGCTCAGTTGGTAGAGCATTTGCCCACTGATCTGAAGGTTGGCGGTTTGATTCCAGTTCTGGACATAAAAAACATCTCAAGTTGAGCGGTCAGATCCACTGACCCACAGGTTTGCTGGTGTGATTCCAGCTCCCACAGATCAATGCTGTCATTGTGTCCTTGGGCAAGACACACACAACAGTGTCTGTGTACACTGGTGTATGAATGGGTGAGTGGTTCCTTGTTGTAAAGTGCCTTGAAGGTGGAAAAGCGCTATAGAAAAATGACCATTAGTCCATTTTATGAAGTCAAATCTCAAGTCCTAATTCTAGTGACTCAAGTCCAAGTCACAACTTGCAAGTCCTCACCTCCTGTCAAGTTAAAAAACACACTTGTGAAGAAAAACTTGCCAAAACTCTGAAGTATTTGAGTAGAACAGCACTAAAATGACATCATCTCGAGGAGAAATGACACTGAAGAAACTGGAAGCAAACGGACGTAATTTTCTCCAAAAAACTTTATTCAAACTAAAAACACAAAAAAACATGACAACTGCAGAAACTTTACATTCATATTTATATAGCATCTCTAATATATTTACCGCTCTGTACTGCATTTAACCCAACGTGGACCTGGCGTGCCCTTTAAAAAAAAAAAAAAACTACACTGATGTCCAGTTTTAGAGAAAAAAAACACTGAAAAAAACATAGAAAACCTGACCATTTTTGTACAAACTTTGGCTTCTAGCGTTAGTTATTGCCAGTATTCACATGTCCCACTGAAATAACATTATTCATTCATACATTTACACACAGAATCACTCAAAGGCAAGTTGTCCATTCATTTTCTTCAGGAGCTGATTGGAGGCCGGTGTTTGACAAAAACAGTGCGGTCTGTAGAAGTTTCACATTGACAAGGTGAGCGAAGTAGAAAAAAAAAACGAAATCAAAATCAAATAAAAATCTGGAAAAAAACGAACGTTTTGAATGTGAACGTTTTGGAAGCTTTTTATGTACAAAATGAAATTGGTCGAAAACACTGGTGATTTTGAACATTTCTTTCTACGAAGCGTTTGATTTCAGAATTGGTGAAATGAAATATAAAGACGAGACTTGGACAAATGGGAAAATGTTTTAGTTCTGACGATCGATTTTAAAAAACTAGACGTAAGGCACTGAACAGTCGTCAAGTTTTTCTACAATAACATCGTTAAAGTTTCGCTGTGTAACTTTTCCGGGGAAACGTCCTTCTCGCTTGCTCTGCCTGGAATGTTCCGCAGTATTGCATTAAATTAAATCGTCTTTCTGGAAATTTTAAAACGACAAATTTTTTTTTTACGGCTCAGAAAGACTTTGTGGGTCACTTTTTCTTTCAAAGCTCTGTAAAACTTTGCTCGAAGTTTAATTGTCGGAACATTCCAGGCGAAGGGGTAACATCTCCACGGAGACGACCAGACTGCAGATGCTCCGTTAGAAAAGTGACACAGTGCAGCTTTAAGTCAAAGAACCTAGAAATTTGGAAGTTTTGAGCTTTTCACAAGTCAACCGTAGTTTAATTGGCAACTGCAAGAGGGAATACTTTTCAGGATCATAACATTGGATTAAAGTTTATATATTTAGGTAAAAAAGCGTTTTTATTTTATTTTAATTTTTTTAAACTTTGCTATTAAAATGTTGAGCACAAAACTATTTTATTATAAGACTATAGGGAGTTGTATTTCACGTAAAAATGGCTACAGCTTTAGTGTTTTGCACAGAATCTCTCATTGTCATCACAACCTTTTCTAAATTGGGATTATTCAAATTTTATCAATCTACAGTTATAAAAAAAAGTTACAATATGGAACTTTTCTGACGCTTGTTTCCATGGATGTTATTGCTTGTCTGGAATGTTTTCACGGAAAGCAAAACCACATCCATGAGGGCAAGCGGAAAGAAAAGTTACATAATCCGACTTTAATATCAAATTAATACTTTACTGATTGCTACGAGTAAATGTACATTTCACTGTTGACTACTGTGTTAGAAAAGTTGAGCGTTTCTCATTGAATTTCCGTCAAAAAGAAAATTATTCAAGGCAAATTAAGGTGATAAAAAAAATAAAAATAATCTGTACATTGTTTTTGAGAACTACTTAGGCAGTACATGGCGATCTACTTTGTAAAAAAAAAAAAAAAAAAAAAAAAAAAAAAAAAAAGTACCAAAAAATTAAAATATAAAAATCTGCCTTTCAAAATAAAAAAAAAATAAAAAAAGTTCCTGCTTCATTCTGTTCGGCCCCAGAGCTACAGACCCTTCAAACCAGTGTCTGTTTTTTTCATGAACCCTGCAGTCGTCCCTTTGGCCCAAGCTCCACTTCCGCCTCCGTTATATATTATACAGTAAGTGCAACAGCCTTTTCAAGTCAGAGGAGGAAAAGATGCAACTGTGAAAACCGTGAAAACATTGACCTTAAGAGTTTTGGATAGTGCTGGCTCCAGTTGACGCGTGTGGAAAAATAAATACAAAAAGGTAGCAGAGAGAGTTCAGTTTGTGTGTGTATTTGGGCGCGGCGGTCTTCAGATGACTCTGTAGGTGAGATAGTCGCGCAGCGGGGTGGGCATGGCCAGCGACTCCACCTGCTGCGTGGTCAGTATCCGCCGCAGGGTCATTCGGCACAGGTGCTGCAGGCTGGACACGGAGCGCGGGGACTCCCAGAAGTGGACGCCGCCGTCTCGGGTGCTGCAACGGATGAGAGACACAAAGATTAGAACATGGCCAGACGTTTAAAAAAAATAAACTTGACTCTTGCGAGTTTTAACCCTCTCCAGGCAGGCGTTGCAGATTTACCTACTTATTCCACATCCATATTTTATGACGATGCAGACTGTGCAAGAATGTTTACACACAAACGGCCAGAAGTGCAAAGTACTTTTGTTGTTTACAAAGGATAAAAATTGTTTCTTGGAGCACCACACGAAAAAGTGATGTTGTTCTGCCACTGTAAATCTGTTACACTGTGCTTTATGTTTTCATTGTTATGAAAAGTGGTTTACACATAAAGTTAGTGTTCATATCATTTTCAGTCTTCAGTGTTAATTTACCACACTGGACCAATGCTGCAAATCTGCAACATCCCAGAACACACTGCATGTGAAGGTCTCTCAAAAAAAAGTCAGGATTGTGTATTACCTCCCCATATGATCATTTTCCACAAATAGCAGATTTTTCCTGTTACTAAAAATGTATTTGAGCCTGAGAGGGTTAAGCAGTGTTCAAATGGTGTCACCTGGAGTTGTTTTGTTTCATTCACACATATTTGAGTATTCCTTTATGATTAGTCTGTTTACATCTCCAAAGCTCTAAATGCTCTGTTCCACATTGTGATGTCATGACATTATCAGCCACCTTTAACCGTTTGTTCAGTAGAGATTGACAATTCCAGGAAATACATTATGCAAATGATTCTAGTGAAAGTGCATGGTGTTTAAAAATACAATGGAGCACTTGCTGTATTATCACATGACAAGATAACACGTGAGGGTTTCAGTTTGAGGAAAGAAATCTCCTTAAATGTTCAGTGTTTGTGTGTTAAACGTGTGAATGAAACAAAACACTACTCCAGGTCTGTTTTTGATAAGGAAACATCATTATAATCATAAATCAGACAATAGACTAATACAGGACCTTTAAACTATGAGGTGTTGTGTATAAAAACTGCAAACTCTGTAGTTAAGACGTCTACAAATGTGAAACCTGTATTAGTTTAGAGCATCACTAACTTTCTGGAGGTGGGCAGTCACCAGTACAATTCCATGGACAAAGTGAAAACCTACTGGTGAATATTCTCTGTTGAGATGGAAAAGTGTTTTGCCACAGTGTGAATATTAGAGCCAAAGGAACATGTCCATGGAAAGAAGAGCCAAAGAAGAACAGGGTTTGTACAAGTCTGCTCAGTAAAGACATGTTCTGCTAGATTATTCAGTGCAATAAAAAAAAAAATTTAATTAAAAAATATTTTGGTCAGTTTAACTAAAAAGTGACATGATAGGGCTACTTTTTATCTTCTATCAAATCCCAACACTCCTGGTGTTAAAATGTGCACTGTGAACTGAGAGACTTTATTCCCAAACAAAAATCCACCAGTCTGTTTGTCGTCACAGAGAAACATTTTAGTAAATTTTTACCACTCTGCCCCACTCTGCCCCACTCTGCCCCACTCTGCCCCACTCTGCCCCACTCTGCCCCACTCTGCCCCACTCTGCCCCACTCTGCCCCACTCTGCCCCACTCTGCCCCACTCTGCCCCACAAAACACTTTCCCTTTCAGAATAAAAGCATGACTGAAATCAATATAGCTTTTATTCATATAAATCCCCTTAAAAGCCCAAAGTCAACACAGTGCCTGGTGTGACTCTTCCAAACTGGTTGAACAGGCTGCGGTGCAGAGCTCCGCTTGACTTGTCACTTTTTATAGTGTGTTGGAGCATGCTCAGTGGGCCCCTCCCTACTGCTGCTGCTGCAGCTGCGACTCCAACACTAAACCGTATGAATTCTTCCTGTATGACTGTATGACCTATAGTAAACTCTTGGGACTCACCCGGCAGCCAGGACGCCCCCTTCAGGAGAGAAGGCACAGCACAGGCCGTTGGGCAGAGCCGCGATGGCCTGAGGGGCGCGCTGCTCAATGCTCCAGAAACGCACCAACCTGAACAAAAAGCACAAGAACAACATTAGATACGGCACATTTAGGCCAGACACTGTGTCCAGTGTCGTTTGTTTTTTGGTAATTCGTGGAGGCCCAGAGTTGTATTTATATGAAGCTTTTCAGTAATTTTTTAAAAGGATCTCATGTTAAAGGTGCACTGTGCAACTTTTCTGGTGAAGGGTGCTGCTTGTCTCCATGGAAATGTTATTTCTTTAACTAGAATATTCCATGGTATGACAAATACAGCCATCTGGCATTTATTCATTATGGGTGTGTCTAATCCTCAAAAATGCAATCATTCCTCCTGTGAACAGGGGTGACTCTCCACAGATCTGACCTGTAATGTATTGTAGTGCTGTAACCTGCTCGTCTCCCTTGTGATAGATTTAACCTGTGCTGTGGAACATTCTAGCCAAAGCAAGGACATTTCCATGGAGACAAGCAGGTGGCAAACGTTCTACTAGAAAGTGAACTGTGCTTTAAGGAAATAATGTGCCATTTTCCATCCTCACACTGGTATCGGTTAATATCTGCTGTCTGCAGATATCGGTATTGGAACCAAAACAAATTGTTATAAAAGAGATGCACAGATCAAAGATAATTCAAATCTGAATTTCCAAAAATAAAACACAATTTTTGAATTTCATCATTAATAATTCATCTAGAAGCCTTCAGTTACTGTATTTTCACATTATTGGAACCAAAATGTGATTATCCACTACAGAAATAATACCAGGTTGCAGCTCCAGTTGGCTAAAATAGAATCCAACTTTTTTTCCCATCCAGAGTGAATTGCCTGTTCAGTGAAAGCGTGTTTGTCTTTCTGGCACAGGTCTCATTTGTTCAAACTGGATGTAACTGGTTTTGCCTCCATTTTGTTGCATCTGTTTCTTTTCAAATGTTTCTTTTCCACAGAATCCCACAGGAGGTGATTAATCCTGTGACAGTCACGTGACCATCTGAACAGAGTGTGTACAGTGACCCGGAGAGGACAAATAAACAAAACGCTCAGGAGGTTTTCTGCTGCAGGAGCTGTTTACTCTCGGGTCCATGTGAACTCACAAGAGACAGCAGCACAGTGTTCAAACATGGAATTAAGGGTTCAACATTCAATGGCCTAAAATACCAAGCCTAAACCTTTTTACATTTTAGAAAGAGTAAATGTGAAAATAAGAGCCAGGTTTGTGGAGATGCAAGCTCAATCAAAGTAAGAACCATAGACTGTATAAACAAGTGGACCAAGTGTGACATCACCCATACTGTTTGGCTCCAGTCAAATAAACACTGGATTATATCTTGATTTATGAGTTTTTTTTCAGTCCAATAAACACAACCAAAACAACACAAAAAAAACATGCTTTTGATTTGGTCTATTTTTGTGGTTAAAATACATACTGTGGATTTAAAGTGAATTCATTTCTGAGGAAAACTGTACTTTCCTGTGATCAAGAGACCATTGCCCCTGAATCATGCACGAATCACTAAATACAAGTTCAAGAGGGTAAATGAGCAGGGCAAACTATTATAACATGGCTAAAAGTTGGGAAAAGTAGCTTTTGCAGTGTCCCTCAATAACGTTATCAGCCCGTATCTGCAGGAGCACAGAGCTGCTGACTCCAGTAGTCGTGTTCCTGTTGTCCTTGGCCTGTGGGTCTCTTACTTTGCCACAGGAAACACACCAGCTCCTGTTCAAAAGGTGAAACTGTTTTGAGCCTCTGCTTTTATAAAGTAAGGTTCAGTTGTGGTACAGTGCGGATGTGAAATCTGCTGACGCTTCATTTCGGACCCGTGCTCAGTTGTGTAACAGTTGTTTGTCATATACTGTTTAAATAAGAAGGCGGCTTTTTAGGGATCATAACATCTGTTTAAACTCAGGAGTGCAGGACTGACCTGTCATCAGTGATGCTGGCGATGTGCCGACCGTCAGGACAGAAGCTCACGGAGCGAACCCAACGATCGTTTGAACCTCCCGCGAAAATGGGAGAGGGAGGAGGGAACAGGTGTCTGCACACAGAACAGAGCGTTACAAACAAGCACAAGAGGATTTAGTGTGTTTCTACTGAGCTGCACTGAGCTGAATGTTCACTGGGATGTTTCTAGAGATCCAAAGAAATCCTTATGCATCTTGTAACTGAACATAAGGAAACCCACTAATTTAAATATTTTAATAGATGTGCTGTATGAGGATAAGTACATGGTCAAAATGATTCTTAAAATACTGGTGATGTCAATAAAACAGGAGCAGATAACACAGGAGTGTAATAAATGAGACTGACCCGAGCTCGAGCAGGATGGTGGCCTTGTGGTGGTCCCACACGATGACGCGGGTGTCGTAGGAGGCGGTGGCCAACAGCGCCCCGTCTGGTGAGAACTCACATGACACCACGTCATTGTGGTGTCCCTCGAGCTTCCGGAGCAGAGTGTATTTGTCCATGTTCCATAGGAACACCTGCAACGTGAAGAGAGCGCTGTTATAGACACTGAAGGAGCACAGCCAAGAATATAGCTACAACTACTCAATAATCATATGCAAATTAAATTAAGCACAGGCTTTAATTATGTTCAGCTTATGCTCTGTGTCACTTTGGTAACTTTAAATCAGGCCAAACAAAAGAAGACACATGCTAACCAAGCAGCAGCTGTATAGAGACAATAGGCTATGTGTGGATGAGAATGTGCTTAAGTGCATGTAATGTGGTGTAAACATATACAAGTGATTATAGTGTATTTATGTGTCAACTAAAACATGTTTAAACATCAGTTATAAATACAAGTCTAATAGTTTAACAAAAGGTCTACACAAAAGAGAAAATAAAACAAGTAGTAACTTAAGGTAACATAATGTTACTCCACTGGTTTCCCCTTTCAGAGTCTTAGTGCTCTGTTTACAATAGGCTCGCACCTCCGGCCGAAGCCTACGAAGAGAGACAGATACTGCAAGAGAAAAGAATATTTTATGGCCAAAGGGTTGACACCTCTGGCAAAGTACACAATACATCCACTCACACATCCACACACCACGGACACGCTGAGGCCTATCATATGAGCTGGAGTTAGACTGTTACAACTACCATCATGGATTTGACCTTGACTAGGAAAATACAGTCTGATTTTGATAGAATTATTACTGCAATTAATACTATTACATAATTATTGCAGTTATTAATATGGTGTTGTATAGTTTTGATGCATATGGTCATTTTCTTAAAAACTGCTGATTGTTAAATAGTTAGTGATTGCATCTAAACATTTGATTGTAGCATAAATATTTGAAAATGTGATCGAAATTGCATTGGTAAAGCAAAACCAATTTGTTTCAAGTTTAGAGTACTTCATGTGATCGTGGGCGTGGTTTGGCTTGTCAGTAAGAAGAGATAGTGGGCTATATTTGGCCCTGCTTTGTTTGCACTTTGGACGTTTTCATTTATATCACTACTTTTTGTCCAGTTACAAATGTGTATGTTAGGGAGTAGTGCACTCAATAAAGAAATGTTGACTTAAATGAATTAGATTATATTTTAATCACATAAATCTTTGTATGTTGATCCAAAGCTATTTTTGTGTAAACATATACTTTCAATTAACATAAGATTTAGGTTGAAAACATGACACAAAACAATGACTTTGCTTCATATTTGAGCAAAATGTGTCTTGAGGTAAAAAATAAGTCTGTTGTGTAGTGTCTGCATCTAATTATCAGGCTAACAGTGCAGAAAGTTGTGGCTGTTTTTAAAAATCAGGTAGAGCGTCTTTAAGTCAACATTTCATTTTGTTGAGTGTGACAGGATGTGTAAGGAGATTAAACTGAGTATGTGATCTAGAAGTGCAGTAACTGAGTGTAATATGGTGTAGTTACAGGTATAGGTAGACAGACACAGAGCACCTACGTACAGGTCAGGTGCCTTTGGTCGTGTTGAGCCTGAGCTCCACCTGCGACAGGAGAGCACACTGTAGGGACACGGCCTAAAATCACCACAGGCCTATTACAATCACTAGGAATAGGCTAATATGACTACCTGTAGGCTAATATAACATTCACCGTTCACTACTGGGTCACACTAATGCGACGTTCAGCTGAGTTTACGCAACACAAGTTCACAGTCAATATTCAAGTGCACTGGCTCACATTCTGCTTATCGATTTTGGTGCGAAAAGTTCAAAATGTCGTTTTATATGTTGGAAACTTTGTCATTTCGGAAGCTCGGCAACATGACGGTTTATTACGGTCAACGAATAATTTCACAAACTAAAATAAAAGTAATGTCCATCGTTTGAAGAAAACACTCAAACTAATTACATAAATGGACGCATACAATTTTTCGCAGCAAGAGTTGTTTATATCTTAAAGTCATGTACCTTTCTTAATACATTTGTTTTTTAATACAACTGCATTTTGATATTAAACTGTACCAAAAAAGCAGAGAGTCAAGACTTCATTACCCTACAACTACCGTATTTTCCACACTATAGGGCACACTTAAATGTCTTCAATTTCATCCAAAAATGACTGCGCGCCTTATAATCCAGAACTCCTTATATATGAATTTATTGGTTTGTCTTAGTACGACTTTAGTAAACTACAAAGCCACACCACTTGCAGCATTACGGCTCCTGTAGTCAGGAGCATCAGGAGAAATACACACTGTGATTCCTTTTAATATCAAAATGCACCTGTCAAGAGACACGCTTACAACACCCACTTTAAACTCAAGACTGTTATAAAGTGAACACGCCACGATCTGCCAACGGATCGTGGACGCCTGGGCTAAGGATCAGTATCAACTGTGGTCCGAGCTTTCACCAAGACCAGAATCATCACTGAACTGCCAAGGAACAGTAACCACACTGACTCGGATAATGACGAGAGGGATGTGGGCGTGCTGGACGCCAGAATCACCCAACTGTTATTGTGAATACTCTAACAATTTAGCATCTCAAACAGTATTTTTTTTTACACGTTACAATTGAACAAAGTTGAGTGTTATTGTGAACGTGTTAAATAAAGTCTGACTGACTTATCTAATTGTGTTTCGTTTAATGCGCCTTATAGTCCGGTGTGTTTTTTATGTGAAAAAAGTTCAAAAATAGACCATTCAATGAAAGTGTGCCTTATAATCCAGAGCCCCTATAGTGCAGAAAATACAGTATGTGTATTTTTTGTGTCAAATTACTTTGATTAAATGTTTTTAACTGTTATAATTACTAATAATGTATGCGACTTGCTACTACCAAATTTCAATTACATCTTGCCATTACATTCCGAACCATATCCAACCTTTTTTATACACAGCTTTACAACGGAAATGTAGCGGCTTGCAGCTGTTTGATGTTTATAGTCCAAATTGCTCTAACAATTTAAGTCAACAATATCCGACATTGGCCATAACGATAAGAGTGCGATAAGTCTTTGAAAATCGATAAGCAGAAGTGGAATAATCTACTCTGTCTACAGTTTGTGTATTTTACCATTGTACAAGGCTGGGTTCTTAACATAAATAAACATGGGTTCATTTGGTTTGAGTTTACAGTGTCTACAAGTCTGTTTTCATGCAAACGTAAGTACAGTACAAGCGTTTACATTCACTGCAAACAACCAGTGGACTTAAAAGTATTGATTCTTATGACACAGAGCAATGTGGACAAATTATAAAGGCAGTTGATTGTGCAAAACTGTCACGTGCCGTATAAGCAAACACACAAGAGCTAGCAGACCAAAATATAACAGTATCATTTGAAATCAGGACTAAAGAGGAACGAGGAGCTTACTGCTTTGCCGGCGCCCACCGAGCACAGGATGGAGGAGTCCGGAGAGAAGGCGCTACAGTAGACCCAGTTCTGGTGACCACGCAACACTTTTACCATGTTACCTAGGAAACGCAAAAACGACATCGATTTTTACTTCTGTACTTTATTTGTTATTTTGGCAACAATATATAGTAAGAATTTTAAAAGTAACCAGAGAAAAATACAGTGAAAATGCATAAATATTAAACTGCAAACCAAAACATTGATGCATTTTGTTATAGTTATTAAAAAGTTTCACCAAGTAACTTTTCTGGAGGACAGTTCACCACCTACAATATTCCACAGTATGCCATTAAATTGATCCATCTCCATGGAGACAAGCAGGCCTATGTTTGAGGTCCGATCTGTGGAGAGGCAACCCGCTTCTAGTATGTATTTTTTTAAAAGCTGATTAAAACTTCTGATTAAGTCTGTGTAATTAATTGAATTTTAATTGGAGATCGTTTGACACACAAATTGAAATCACAAACTCATAAATGAGTTGAAACGATAAAGCTTAAAAGTTTATTTTGGGATATTTTTTATATAAATAAGTATATTTTATATTTTAAATATAGAGACTGTAGAAGAGCTGGATATATAGTTTATTTTGGATACATTTATGTTTTTTTCTATGCCTTATTTCATGTTCAAAGTATATTTTATTCATTTTATGTTTTATACATCAAAAAACTGCTCTAAGGTCCATAATTGTAACTAGAGGTGTGCAAAAATATCAAAATATTGATATATTGTATCGTTTAATATGATGATACAGTATCGATATTGTGGGCTGCTGTATCGATATATTACCAAGAGTATTGTTTGGTATATTTTACAAAATTTTCATGCAACACATTTGACATTTTCATCATTTTGATTATTAAAGCACTTCTTGTGCAAAGATACTAAAGACAGACATGAGTTGGGCTTTATTTTTTCTTGAACCGTATCTAATCTATTTGAAAGCTCACTGTATCGAAATATGTATTGTATTTTGGGCTGTGTATCGAGGTATGTATCGTATCAAGTTCTGAATGATACCCAGCCAGCCCTACTTGTAACCTAGATTTATTTTTAATTTGAAAGTTTTGCATAAATTATCATTTTTTAGAGAGAAATGCTGCACATTGTGTAACTAAAAAAATAATAATTTGAATAATCGTGATTTCAATATTGACCAAAAGAATTGTGAAAATTTTTTCTTTCCATAAATCAAGCAGCCTTACTCCTAATCGAATACATTCTAAATACACTAAATACTCTGTGGAACTTTCCTGGTAACGTCATTATTGTTTTTGAAAAGGGTCATTAAAAACAAATGTCATTCAAATTAGATAATTCGACTATAAACAAGTTCACTGGACTTTATGGAGTGTGAAATCATCCAGTATCTCTTCATAAAACCTTTAATGTTTGATAGCATGTTTTCCATTCCATCTGATTTTACACCAAGGTTTAAGTCCAAAACAACATGTGGAGTCCATTATTCAACACGTGAGGGCCCTACTGAGGAATGTAGGTCACAGATAGTGGCCAGTTGAAGAGAACAGCTCCCCTGGCCCCATCCCAACACATACAGCCGGTCACATGCAAAAACAAAAGGGGATAATCCGAAAAGAAGTCTTAACGTAGTAAAACATTCATATAGGATCTTTTTTTTCTTTTGTTTGACTAACTTTTTAGATAGAGGGTATGGTACTAGCTCATCTCCATGGAAACCTAATGCCTTGCCAAGAAAATTTCACAGTACGGTACTAAAGTATCTAGGCAGACAGAAGCAGGTCAAGGCCGAGTTACACGTCAGATGAAAGTTTTTCAAGGTTTTCTAGCGCTGGAATAAACGCAAGACAAGATAAGGTTTAATGCTATACTGTGGAACATTCCATCTCCTGAGTTATTTTTCCATCGTGAGAAACAAAATTGGTATTAAACTGAAACAAAATGAAAAGTTTTGAGTCATACCTGTACTATCGTGACAACACTGCTGAGTTTCATAAGATATTTTGATAAAAAAAAGTGTATTAAAATAAAGTAGAGTAAAGAGTAAAGTAGAGTAGAGTAGATATTCATTTGAGAAAGTATCAGGTAAATCTTTAGAATAGTCTTCAATGGTCAGAACTAGTATCAGACCAATTATTTAGTGCTAAAAATGCCTAATGTCTAAGAAACAGACTGTCAGCATACTAACATTTCTATACAAAAAAACTAAGGTATTTTGGATGAATTACCGTCGTCCTTGAGGTCCCAGACTCTGAGGGTCTTGTCTCGAGACGCAGAAACCAACATGAGGCTCCCGTCGGGGGCAAAGGTCAAGTCACGGACCACATCAGTGTGATCCATCAGGTTCAGCAAGAGCTTTCCTGAAAACAAAACCGAAACAATGTTAATAGAAATTCTAAAGATGTCAAACATAGAGCATCAAGATATGAAGCTGTTAACAAATGGAGTGCTTTTTTTTTTTTTTTTAACATGACAAAAAATGCTGCCCTGCTTTAAGCCATTAGAAATACTGTCAATGGCCATTTGTCAAAAGTTTACCAAGTTAACAAGGAGAATAAAGAGTTGAGGTTCCATTCAGATAAAAGTCCCAGTTCAATAAAAAAATAAAGGCTAAATCGTGGCTGTGATACTAAAGGTCTTTGTTAAACCACTTGTTGTGCAAAGTTCATATGAAACAGGCCCATTTTAATCATCAAAATGTGTTGCATAAACATGTTTCCTTCCTCTGAACAAGCAACAAAACTGTTGCTGTAACAAAATAATTGACTAAAATATACCACAAAATATTCTTGGTAATACATCGATACAGCAGCTCACGATATCAATACTGTATCATCACATTAAACAATACGATATATTAATATTTTAATATTTTTGTACACCTCTAGTGTTAACTGGAATTAGGAAACTGTCAAATTGAAATTTTTAAGATTTTCATGTTTGGTTAAGTCCAATGTTTAAATGTTAAAATGGTGTGGCAGTCACTGTTGATCTTTATCAATATGTCTAGATGACCTAATTGTGTTGCTAAAAGAATTATATTAAGAGAATGCACTTTTGGTTACGTCCATAACACGGCTGTTTTCAGTGTTGTTGGTAAATGTTAATGGTGATAACTTGGCAGTTTATAAAGTTTCAGAAATAGATTTTAAATACAGTTGTATGTGGTAACCAAAGATCCTGGCATAAAACTATTAGCTGCAAGCAACTTTTCAAACTTATTTATCATTCCTAGAAAGTTTATGAGAAACTAAATTGAAATTTAAGTTGGGGGCGGTCACTGCTGAGCTCTAGAAATATATCAAGATGAACCAATGGTGTAGTGGCCCAAACCTTCCCTGTGATATCATCTATTCTGTATATTTAGACGGGTCACATTTCAGAGCACCTGTCTCCTCTATTCTTAGGTCGACCAGCTCAGCTCCACTTGGGTCTTCTTCACGTTACTGTGCTTAACTCTTACACAACATCATTATCTAACACCAGTTAATGTTTCAACTACAGCGTCTGGGATGGTCTTGTCTTTTGGTCCGCTGCCTGAACATACCATCTGCATCCTCTTCCATCTCCCCAGCCAACTCAACTGGAGGCGTTTTTGCTTCCGTTTGTCTTTCCATGACAATCTAAACTCGTCCTCAACAACAACCGCTTAAATGTAGTTTTGAGTAAACTTGTTGGCAATAGTTCTAGATATTCATTTAAAGTATCAATACTACAAAAAATTACAAATCAATGTATGTCCCTGATTTTAAAAAAATAAAACAGGAGAAAGTAGAGAGCAGAGGGCATGTAAAGGTGTTTTGAGTAAATAAATGATTAGGGATGTGTGGAGAAAATAAATAAATAATAATTAATATATCGTATCATTTAATGTGATGCTATCATGGGCTGCTGTATATATCACCAAGAGTATTTTTTGTAAAATTATTTTGCTACAGCGCTGCAGTTTTGTTGTTTGTTTTGAGGAATTAAACTCTTACGCAACACATTTGACATTTTCAGATTTTTGATGAGTAAATTGGACATACTTCATATTAACTTTGCACAAGAAGTGGTTTCACAAAGACTTTAATATCGCAGCCATGATTTTACCTTTATTTTTTATTAAACTGTATTGAATCGATTTGAAATATATCGTATTGAATCGAAAGTGCACTGTATCGAGGCAAGTATCGTATCGGCAACTTCTTAACGATACACAGCCCTATAAATAATTGCTCAAAACATGCACGAATCACTCCAAATACAACTTTGAGATGGTCAGTGAGAAGGGGAAGGGCTCTTTCAGGTTGATTTTGCAGAATTTAGCTTTAAAAGTTCAGCTGGAGGAAGGAGGAAGACATTAAAAATATATGATACAACTTTAATACGTCCATTTTTAAAAAAATAATTGCCTATGATACGGTTTGTGTTGACAACTGTTTACCAAAGTACGTAATATCCCTTTTAACTTTTGTCAGTGCATACAACTGCCAAACAAAATAACAATTTAATTAGGACACACCCTGACATTCAGTTACAACAGAGGTGTATTGTACCACGTTATGAAACCATAACAATAATAGGAGCCTGTCACTTTTCAGAGCCCTTTTAACATTTCATTAGCATTTGAGTTATTTTAGTGGCAGGAATATGTGGAATGTGCCACTTTGGTATGAAATCTCTTCTTGAACTTTTCTAGAAACTGGTCTACACTGTAAAAATATCTGATAATGCAAGAAATATACAAACGCAATTTAGAACATGTACATTTTCTTACCAGTTTTACACAATAAATTTCAAGCTTCGGAGAAAAATATTAATTATATTGAAAACGTTTAATTGCTTACTTCATATAGCCGTCATGTATTTAGTCATTTACACCTTATTAAAAGAAATAACATAAAACAGCCTTGAAGTGCTTAAAACCCTCAGTTAAAACAGTTTAAAACCCTCTCCATAAAACTAGTTTAAATGGTTTTGCTGCTTTGGGCAAGATTCAACAATGCGCTCCAGTGTGCAGAATCATCAATCATCACAGAGTCGGGTTCTGAATCCAAACCAGCCGCCATTTTCCCTCTGGATTCCTTCACGTACTCAGGACTACACCCAGCCCTCGCTTTCCCCCCCAACTTTAGCTGGAGGAGAGGCGGGTTACAGCGTACGACTTTTACAAACTGCATCGTGGAATAACAAACATTTAGAAAAGAGTGGGTTGCAAATATGTTGAGGGTTACAGCTCAAAGTTATTTTAGTGCAGGAATGAATGATTTAGGACTTTTTTTTTAGGAATTTTTCAGATGCGCATTGAGATTTGATTGCGATTTCTGTTTCAGACCAAAAGGCTGAAGTATTAACTGACAAACTAATACAAGAATCACATTTCAGAACACATTTATATAGATCTGAAGTGCAGGATTAGCAGTTTGAATGCAGAAAAACGACAAGCAAAGAAGTGAAATCCTTCTCATAATCTATTAGGGCGAGGCGTCTTGCCCAGTGGCTGCAATGTATGCAATGGTTAGATTGAACCGTTGACCTCTGATATAAATGAATACATTATGTTTGCTTGCAGTGACTCGCCTGGCCAACCTACGCCACATGCTTTGATTGACAGGTAGATTAACCAATCAAAGATATGCACGGCTGAGCAGTTCAAAACAAACACGGTGACTTGCAGGCAACAATGGTAAAGAAAAACGGTAAAAATAAATAACACGACTGAGAAAAGGTGTGGATTTCTGCGGAACCAACAAGCCAAGCAGTCAGTAATCTAAGGTTATACAAGTTAGATATTTTGAATATTCAGAGGGGGTGTGTACTGCATTTGAGAGACACATGCTCCAAATAAGCAGCTGTGGACTCTTACGCAGCATTTATGGTCCAGTTCCAGGTCCTTGTGCCTTCAAACAGCATGAAAAAGGGACTGGTTGGTCGGGCAAGGCAGTACAGTATTTTTGGGACTATAAAAGGCACACTTATTTCCTTAAACTTTTCTCAAAAATCAACAGTGCACCTTATGTATTAATTCTGGTTGTGCTCATTAACCTCCAACAGATTTTATGTGGTACACAATACTCAAAAATCTGTCAAAATGTTTTAGTATGACTTTAGTAAACTACAAAGCCTGATGGATTGTCGGAGCATTACGGCTGCCAGTCAGGAGTCTCGCAGAATAAGTCATGTCCTTTAGTCTGACAGAAGTTGAACCGCATCAGGACAGAAGGAGTGTGCAGTTTTTTGGGGTTTGAGGTTTTTTTTTTCAGCGCTTATAGTTCTTATAGTGAGCAATCTAGTTTTAAGTATAATTTCTGTAAAATGTAAACAAATGTGCACAAAGCTGCATTTAAACACATTATTACTCAATGTATATTTGAGTCGTCCTCGTAGTTAATAAAATAAACTTAAATGATCCACCCACATTTACATTCATAATACACATTCACCAAGACAGGGAGCCAACGCCGGGCGAATTACACCACGATCTGACAAAGGATCGTGGACACCTGGACTAAGGATCAGTCTCAAGTGTCATCCGTTTGTTTCGTTTAATGCTCCTTATAATCCGGTGCACCTTATAGTCCCAAAAATATGGCAACTATTAAAGAGAAGATAACAACAATACCGTAATTGTCATCTCTGCACTGTTTCTCCTTACCCCACCTCTTGGATACAGCCTAGATATTTTTTGTATTTAATATATTTAACTTGTAGATGAGCAAACTGCCTCATTTATCACCAGTCTCTTCAAATTTTTGCTACTTGTTTTGGATGTAACATTACCATTTGCTCTTTGGTATTATATTATTATATTGTGAAGTGTGAGCTGCTGTGTCCAATAAAGTTTATCTCAGTCTAATAAAAAAAAAAAAAGAAAAAAAAAAGGCAACGTGGCATTGTGTAACCTTTTCTAGTTTTCGTCACCTGCTTCCATAGATATGTCATTGCTCTGCTTGGAATGTTCCACAGTATGACATTAAACATTTACCTTACGTTTATTACATTTTATAGTTTTATAGGTCAAAAACAGCTAGAAAAACAGGCATTTCTGACTGTGAGCGGGGTTGCCTCTCCACAGATCTGACCTGTAACTTGATCTGGTTTGGTCTCCATGAAGATAGAAAGGTGTAATGCCATACTGTGAAACATTTCAGACGAAGGATCCTCCACGAGAAAAATAACTCAATGCATGTTTAAATAGTCCCTCACCTGTGTAGACGTCCCATATCTTGATGCGTCCGTTGTTGAGGCCCGTGGCGAGGAGAAGCTGGTCCTGGCCGAACTTAAAGCGGTGCCATTCGATGTTCACGCAGCGGCTCTGCTTCTCCGGCACCGATGACCCGAAGGCCAGTCCCCACACAATGTCCCCGCAGTCGATGGTGCGCTCGCGGGGCTCGTTCAGAGGGATCAGGGCCTCACTGCTGTTCTGCCTGGAGAGCCGTCTGGGACCTGCGTCTGTGCCCTGGCTGCTCTGCCCCAAAGCGCTGCAACGAGACAGGGGGCGCCGTTACAGATGGATTCGGGAGATATGACGAGAACTGTTAAAAGTGAGTGTTAAAAGTCTTATTTGTGGGTTTTAGAACGATGAAAAATTGGGACCGTTACCGTAGTCATTAACAAATTATTAGCTTTTGAATTGGAAAAGGTACTCAAAATGTTGAAAATAACATGCTGAAATAAATTCCCTTTTTATTTTTCCTTTTCTTTAATTTGATTTAGTGATAACATTATTGTTGTGACTACTGTTGTCATTATTGCTGTTGGTAATATTATTAGTTATAATTACTATTATTACATATTAATTTAATGTATTTTATTATTATTTGTTAATAATAATAATAATAACAATAATAATAATATTATTAATTGTTAATATTATTATTATTGTATTTATTTATTTTCTGTTTCTTTTGGAATTGCCTGCTGTCTTGTTGTTTTTGTGTTATGTTTATGTATGTTTAAACATTTATAAAAGTCAATAAAAAGAATTGAATAATAATAACAGGCTGAAATTAGGGGTGTAGTCGACTAAAGAAATTCTTGGTCGACTAGAGATGTCCAGTCAACCAATTAATTGAATAAAAAGGGGGGCGTGGCAAAAATTATCAAAATTACTGTGATCTGACCACATATTTGACCCAAACTACTCAAGACAATTGCATGGAAGCTTTTGAAAATACTTTAAGAACCCCAAGATAATTTAATAAATAATGATGTGAATAATGATGAAACTAGATTCACAGTTTAGTCTCATTTTGCACCTGGTTTCCTGCACTTCTACATAAAAACTAACCAAAGACTGTTCATGTTTTACATTGTATTCAGTTATTTATATTAATATAAAACGATAGACTTTGCCTGTTCTAGAAACACTGTAGGGTTGGACGGTTATGGAAAAACGGAATCCAACAAAATCAAAATCACAAGTCTGTTCATGGTGTAATTTCAATCACCAACATGAACACTTGAGAACACACTGAAATATTAATAGCTAAACCAGTTTTGTTTTTTTTTAAACAACACACATTGCGGTTTGTTTTTTTCATACCCAGTGGACATTTTGTGGTTTGCAGACATTTAAATAACTGCAGTCTTTCTATTTAGCTTGGGATCTGACCTTGACTTTTTTTTTTTTTTTTTACTTTTGCCTTGAATTGTTTTGTCATTTTAACTTCCGCGACTTGTTTTGTGAAGCACTTTAAATTTCTCTGAGAATGCATTACGCTAAAAGACATTACTGAATCAACTACTACCTCAGACCCACCCTCACCTGAATTGACTTTCTAATTCAGTCACGTCATGGTCAAGAGTCAAGATACAGTTTTACAAGTTGCTAGATAAACATTTCTAAACAGCAGCTTCTTGGAACAGAGCAGCCCTGTTCTGTTTCGAAGCAGTCACAAGGCTAAATTTGCAGAAACAGGCCATTAATTCCAAGGTCGAGAAATCCTTTTTTTTTTTTTTTTTTTTTTTTTTTTTTTTTTACAGTGTCCTTGACTTCAAGCTTCCAGAAACTACTATAGCACCAAGTTTACACAACACTGTTTTGTTTAACATTGAGGAAGTGTCCACATGACTTTGTTTTTACAAGTACTGGTATGGTTATGCAAACAATATAGAATTTAATATTGTGATTCCAAAAATATTACTGGTTCGGACCATCACAACTTTTCAAATGAACAAAACGTTACTAATAAAACATTTGGTCTAAACTTGCAGGTTCAATTTTGAAAAAAGTCCAAGATATTTTCCATTTGATTTTATTTGATCTTATTAAAAACAAAAAAGTCCATGTTCATTTCCTGAAAATAAATAGTCAAATTGAATTAATCCCTCCAACTTCTGAACTTCTTTTACTAAGAACTGGCTGATCACTGCAACAACTGGAACTCATTTGAAATTGTACCAATTATCATTGTAAATAGTGATTTCAATTAAAAGCAAGTAGTACAGTTATAATAATATATTTTTTAAGCCTTAGCTACTGGTAATTTTCCTCAAATCGTAAAAGTTCAAGTCAGAGTTAAATTGTTGAAAATTCCAGTTAGAATATTTCTGGTATGTGGTGACGAGTATGGTGAAAGTATTTTAGTTACAAAAGAGACAGAGCTGCAGATGTTTTGATAATGTACATTTATATAACTAGAATCCACCCATTCATTACACATGTGGGTTTAATTTGAATAATACTGTCCTGTCATTCTGGTAAGAACAAGTACACTTGGTTTTGTAATCAACTGTACAACACAATTAAAAACAACATTGTGAAATTGCTTGAGGCTGCCTTGTTGATTGCAAAGTTGGTTTAGTGTGCTTGGGAAAGGCTGAGAAACTAAACAGAACATTTAATTTTTACATGTTTTATGTGGTCTTAAAACAGCTTTTTAATATTATTTTAATTATACACCATTCCTTTCTAAAATGTTGCATAGTTAACTCCTAAATATATATAATAATATATTTTATTTTTAAGCCCCTTTCAAAAACACTCAAGGACACTGTACAGGACAAGTTAAAAACACAACAGGTGATGGTGTGTGGTTATGTGGGGCAGGAGTGTTGGAATAAGTAAGTTTTAAGTCCAGCTCAGTTGTAAGATAATGTTTTTTTATGTCGTCTCATTGCTGTAATTGCACTTTCAGGTTCATACAAACAAACCTGTCCTTTGTCCTTGTACAGCGTCCTGTGTTTACCTTTTTTTATTGGCCAATTAAACCATTACGCCTCATGTTCTAGAAGATGTTTCGGGTAGTGCCAAAACATGTTGTGCAATTATAAATTAACTCTGATGTGAAAAGGTTGGGTCACGGTCTAAATTGTGATGATGTCTTCATTTAAGATGGAGGGGCCTGTAGGACTCTATAGGCGACTGCAATAATGCATTTTGAAATAACCAAACTTGATCCACAAATGTAGAAACTTATTATGTTTAAGACTGACTCTCCAAACTTGACATAATCATCTTAGTATCAAGTCCATCACATCGTTGGAGTTTCTGAAGTTATTGTGAAAAAATTATTCCTCTTTTGTATATTTATAGTGACAGAACATTGAACTCCAGTGCCAGTTTTTGTCTCGTGGATTGGCCCTGTCATTAGAGATATGATCCATAAACCAGATCAACAAATCTGCAATGTGACAGTCACACAGCAAACTCCACCACAGAATTCTGACCCGTCTTCCAGGTCAGTTTTAACAGTATATTAGTATTCTTTGGTTTCAGCGTACTGTTACATGCTACATTATGAAGATTTTCCCATTTAATTTTGATTTAAATGGTAAATTGCTCCTCAATTTGAAACCCAAGGATAGTCACACTTCTCTTTCTGCTTTCTTCCTTTCAGCCTGTTTTTTTTTTTTTTACAGTCAAACTCGGCAGATGTTCGTAAACACACTTTATAACATTAAAGTCTTGTGATTTTTTTCAAACTGATGGAAAACAACTTAATGAAGGCAGAAATAACTGGAACAGACTGTAGAAGGTCTTATGATCTATGAGTCCCTCTTGTATTGTTAAACTGTTTACTGAACACTGAATAGTCACTGCACTGTTTCCAATTGATCTGTATCCACACGCAAAGAAGTGAGCGAGTTTTCGGGTGGAAAAATAGAAAAACTGAAGCAAGACTTGTTGGCCGCACATTTTAAAGATGCTCTATGTAACTTTTCTGGTGAAGGGTCCATCACCTGCTGTTACTGCATGCTTTTCTACACACACAGGTTCCACACTATGCCATCTTATTTATCTTACAGGTCTGATCTATGGAGAAGCAATCCCACAGTAAGAATGTATAGTTTGTCAAGGTATTTTTTTTTTTTTTTACATTTTTGCTATTTATTTAGAATAGATTATTACCATTAATACTGTGATGTGTGAACTACTGAGTCCAAACCATTTCCTTTGTGGATCAATAAAGTTTGTCCAAGTCTCATGTCGTATAAATGCAAGATAAACTGTTTAATGTCACACTGTGAAACATTACAGATAGCAGTAATATTTCCATGGAGGTAAGCTGGTGGTTGACCCCAGAAAGTTACAAAGTGGACTGGAGTTGTATGTACGCAATAGTATGATTTAGGGATGTAACAATAATTGAAATATCGTGAATATTGTCATAGTGCTCACAATAATATCGTGGACCATCACAATATATTGAATCATGAGTCTCTTTGCTTAAATGAAGAGTTATGGTGCGGCAAGAGCTAAAAAAAAGACAGAGGGAACTACATAGACCATAATCCTTTGCTCCATTTCAGTGTAGACTACAAGAAGAAGTAACAGTTCTAAGCACTTTTAAATCTTAGTCCTTTGGATTAAGTCTTGTCAAGGCATTTTAAGAGGAAAAAGTAGCATATTAACAGTTTTGGCTGTTTAGCCTCCTCAAAATATCACAATAAATATCGTACAGTGAAATGTATATAGTGAAAATATTGTCCCAAGAGATTTGGATATTGTTACATTCTAATTGTGAGCCTCCCCACCATATCGTGAACTTTCCCATGATATCATACGGTGACGATATTGTATCGTGAGACTTTGATATTGTTACACCCCTAATATGATTCTGTTCAGATTAAAATACAGCGCTTTTCCACCGTCAAGGGACTCAAAGCGCTTTACAAGAAGGAACCACTCACCCATTCACACAAACACTCACACACCAGTGCACACAGACACTGGGGGCCAGGTGGGTTAAGTGTCTTGCCCAAGGACACAACAACAGCATTCATCTGTGGGAGCTAGAATTGTACAGCCAAACTGTGGTCAAGATGAGTCATGAATCTTCTTGACTGCTCTACCAACTGAGCTACTGTCGCCGCCAGAGTCCAATTCCAGTTACAAATCTAATCACAATACTAAAAACTATTATACTAGTAACGTGTTCTGTTCCTCGCTTGTCTTGGATACTTACAAGTCTTTCAGGCATTTTGTCCACGGCACGAGCTTGACGATTCGATGCCCCTGAGACCAAGCGAAGTAGGAACCATTGGGAGCGAAGGCCACGGTCCACGCCTCGCGCCCGGACTTCTGGTCAAAGGGAGCGACCGGCACCAGCAGTTCACCGACGAACTTAGCCTTACCTGGAAATCAAAACAAAAAGAACCATGTATTCTTGTATTTACATGATTGAAAGAGGGGGTATCGCACTTTAATGAGGTGTTAGACGCAAAGATGTAACATATTCAGATCACCATGTTACCTTTTATTGTTTTAAAAATGCTATAGTCACCAAAAAACTGTATTAACGTGTTTTACAAGTTTCATTTTCGCTCTGTCGCAACACAATTGGTGTAGATTCAGCTAATGAAACTACTACACATCGCATCAGGTTTGTGAAGTTGTGGTGTATTTTTTGGCATTTTGCTTTTGAACATTAATGAAAATTTGCATGCGACGTAGGCTTTTGGCTGACTCTAGGATGAATTCGTACCGTTGACTAAGTAGTGTTCGACAGTGCCTGGGAGAGACTGATAAATTACTCAAACATGCAAGGATGACATCAAACTTCTTCAGGCATGTTTCTGATGAGGGAACGGGGTTAAAAAGTTGAATTTGCATAAAACCCTCTTGTGAAAATGCTAAGTCATCCTAACTGTCAAAATTGTAGCATGGATGCAACTGGTGGCCTCCTGAAGATGACTAAAACACATTTCAATGATTAACTGCGATCAGATCTTTGACACGGGCCTCATGTTATACGAAGCAACATGCCCAGGGTCACTTGAGCTGCTGTCGTCATTCACACACCCTCTTAAACAGGGTCAGGCGGTATCCTACAGTAACCTACAGACTGGAGAGGGCCTGTCTCCAACGCTGGGTTCTGATTCGCTGAAGGAAACCCCAACAACAGGTTTTACAGTAAACGCCTCGGAAAACATGAGAAAACTTTTACTCAGTCCCAAGAAACTTTTGGCTGCCTCGATGTTGCTCAAACTTTGGACCAAACAGATTACGTTGTTATTCAGTTTTGCATAGGGCTGGAAGTGAAAGTGAATTTATATGAAGAAAGTGACATTTAAATGCACAAATACGCCTAGATTGTTCCTGATGTGCAATAAACGATTATGTGTAGAAGCTACTCTAGATTATGGTGATCAAAGGGGCGACATTAGTCATTAGTCATGAATCTTCTTGGCCTTGGCATTCTTAACCACACTATCGATGACAAACTAGAAAAGACTTGTCCCAGTGCAGGCTTCTGATTGGCCGATATTGGTGGGAGTACAAATCGAAGGCAATTACAGCCAGAAAACCCTGAGGTCTTGGCAAAGAATACGATCACATATCAAAGCAAAGGAACATTTATTTAAAGATTACAGCAATTAATAGCAGCCTGTCAATTATTCAACTAGGAAGTCATGCAAGGACATTCATTTGCAGCCAAAGAATGTGCTTCTGCAAGTTCAGACATTTGTGCACAGAAATTGTTTAAATTTTAAATGTTTGTTAATTTATTTTAAAGGTGCAATGTGTAACTTTTCTGATGGAGGGTCCGTCAAATGCTTTTCTTCATTGCTTTGTCTGGAATGTTTCACAGTATGGCATTAAACCTTTCTATCTTCATGAACACCGAACAAGATCAAGATACAGGTCAGATCTGTGGAGAGGCGACCCCACTCACAGTCAGAGCTAGAAACCACCTGTGATTGAGTAAGGTAGAGATGTTTAATGTCATACTGTGGAACATTCTAAGCAGACCAATGACAAACCCATAGAAAAAAAGATGGTGATAGACTCCCAATCAAAAGGTTACAACATCCTGTTTAAGGGAAAATGATCAGTCTGAAACCCAAGGATAGAAAACATAATACTCAAAGTTTACGGTCTGTTACTACTTTTATACTTCTAATGTCTTTATCCAACAGAAATGCACAGAAACCCACATCTACAGACTTTAAATGGGCTACTATACCATATAAAATAAATAAATGGCTATTAGAGCAAGTTTTTGGCCTTTCTCTTTCCATGGTTACTTGGAGAATGAGTTTAATTTCTAAGGTTCTATGTTTGTTTTGATGAACGACCATTTGGTTAATATTTTACAAAACAGCAACTAACGTTTTTTTTTGGTAGTCGACTAGTCAATTATTTTTTCAACTTGGCTAGTCAAACCATTATTACATCTACATTTTTTTTAACATACATTTTACCTAAAAAACAGTTTGAAACAAATAACCATTTTAAGAAGCCTTCAGTTTTATAATTTTTTGGACTTTTTAAAATCAGTAGTGTCTGTCTTTGTTTGAAAAAGTCTTTTTGGCATTTCTTTTAGAGTACAATCTGTACAGCCCAGTAATACCTCAAATACACAATTACAATTTGTTTAGTCACGATTAATCATTACAGCCCTTGCTTCAATGTTTTGCAAGATTATTTAGCGAGAATATTATATTATCAATATCAAAATTTGAAATATGACTTATATTTGATAACTTTAAATTTTCTTCCAATGAAATATATCTAATCAATTGAATTATTATTCTATCAAAATATCACTAAATCAAGTTGAGTGAATTGAGAGTAATTTTAAGGAAACTTGTACATGTACATTTATATAAATATGTCCTATTTGACACCGGTCTCTTTTTATTTTTTTGCTACTTATTTAGAATTTATTATTAACATTTCTATTTTTTCTCTTTGTTATTATTTTATATTGTGATGTGTGAGCTACTGTGTCTAAATAATTTCCCTTGTGGATCAATACACTTTGTCTAAGTCTAAAATGTATTTACACTTAAAATTGAAAAATATGAAGTTAAATAAAACGATTGCGCTCTTTGAAAAGTGGAATGTGGTAGACATGACGTAACGGACCCCTTCTGCATTGTGTTATACGTTTTGTGTTGTTTTGGTGTAATGGAAATTGTTTATATGTGCAAAGTGGTAAAATGTATTTGCACATCTGTTGAATTAAAAAACAGTTTGCTTTCAGTGCTTTGTGTGGCATCATTTTGAAACTAATTTTAGTGCAACTTCCATGTTTTGATGTTGAAAATATTCCGTATGGCGGCGTGAGGATGGTACGTGCTTTACGTGGCGTCCACTCCCCGCAGCTGTATGAATCACAGTGGGGGAGGGTACAAGGTTTTAACCAGGGAAAAAAAAATCAATTTGGACAAAGTTAACGCTCAACTAACACGTTACATCGACAGTTAAAGGAACTATCTGCCTAGAACTATGATTCACTCACCGTATACGTCCTTTTTTTTTGAGCAAACAACGCGAGAAAACGTGCGAAGAATTAACCGCTAAGAAAGTGGGACGCCAGCCAAGAGCCCCCAGGCACCGGGAGAACGCGCACACCCAGATATTCAACTATTTCAGGCATTAAATTGAACAAAAGAGAAATATGTGCGTAGAATTATGAAGTAAGATTGAAAACACACTAAATAAACTCGCTGTCGCCCGATAAAATGAATGATCAAGCGCTGTGTTTGCCTTTCCACGCCATGTAAATGTGGGTGCGCAAAAAAAAAAAAAAAAAAAAGAACAAATGCCGACGTGACAACAACGTGCAATTGTTGAAGTAGCAGTGGGTTTGTTGTGATTAAATATACTAAAACAAATTTTAAAAAAGCGTTACTTACCTAAATCATTTTCGTTTACAGAGTCTGGGAAGCTTGCCATCTAAATAAGGGCTGAGACCTGAGAGAAAAATCCGAGCACGAAATGCAAAACTGAGGTCGGCTGTGCTAAAACAATCGCTCTCTTTATCTACAAAATAAGGTCAAAGATCTCGGTTCAAACTCACTTCGTCGCTAAGCTAAACTCGTGATCTTTTCAATTACTTATAGATGAGTTGTTTCTGATGGGAAAATCTCTCTTTTCGGTCGTCTCGGCGCTGAATGTTGTCGAAATACAATAGCTTCTGATCGAGTGGCTCCCGTTTTAATCCGCCGACGTACGAATCTGGGAGGAGCGTCGTTACGCAGGGCGACGTCAGGGCGGTTGTCATAGTGATACTACTACGGCCCGCCCCTCATTCAGAACAGAGACAAAACAAGACATTTCTGACATCTAGCGGGGATAAAACGTATCAAATGACCTAAATTCAGCTAAGGTTAAAATATTCTAGCTTTAAACGTGTTATAATTGTATAATCGTACTAAAAAGCAGTATAGCCGTGGTATTTTCAGTGGCCAGAGGTGGGTAGTGTTCAAGACTTTATGTAAATTCTTCTTTACACTGTCTATGGTAGAGTCATGATGAGTCACAGACATACATTTATAATGATATCATCAAGTATATCAAGTGAGAGTAGCGTTACTTCAAAATAAAGTAGAAGTACAAAATAGTGGTCCAGGAAATTACTCAAGTAAAAGTTTTTGTTTTGTTTTTTTTAAGTGGAAAACTAGGCTACTACTCAAGTAAGAGTACACAACATCTGATTTATATATTTATCCATCCGTCCATTTTCTTCCACTGGGGACCTGGGGGGCAGCAGTTTAAGCAGGGACTCCCAGACAACTTCCATCACCCCGGACACTTCCTCCAGCTCCTCCGGGGGAACCCTGAGACATTCCCAGGCCAGCCCAGAGACATAGTCCCTCCAGTGTGTCCCGGGTCTTCCCCGGGGCCTCCTTCCAGTGGGATATGTCCAGAACACCTCACAAGGGAGGCGCCCAGGAAACATCCATTACAGCTGCTCAAGCCACCTCAGCTGCTCCTCCCGATGTGGAGGAGCAGCGGCTCTACTCCAAGCTCCTCCTGTGACTGAGCTCCTCACCCTATATCTAAGGGAGCACCCAGACACCAGAAACTCATTTCATCCTCTTGTACCCGCAATCCTCTCTTTTCTGTCATTGCCCAAAGCTCATGACTGTAGGTGAGGGGAGGTTTGCAGCCGAGTGTGAAGCAGCTGGGATGAAGATCAGGTCATCCAAATATGAGGCCGTGGTTCTCGACTGGAAAAAGGTGCCCTATTGCCCTTTCTGGGTGGGTGGAGAGTCCCTGCCTCAAGTGGATGAATTCAGGTATCTCAGGGTCTTGCTCACGGGTGATTTATACATTTAAGTTAATGTAATTTGATGGATGGATGTAAAATGTGATGGAGAAAACATTAATAATGCACGAAGGATAGGCAAAATATATATAAAATATTATAAAAGACAAATCATAGGCTTTCTGAATGAGCGTGGCAAAAATACAAATGTTCAACATAACTTCTGTCAAAATAAATCATTTGTCACTTGTACTCTTATTCACAGTGGGAAGAGGAAGTACAACTTTTACTCAAATAAGACTACTTCAATAAATACTACTAACCAAGTAGGATACTGCTTTTTAATAAGTAGATTTTCTTTCAAAAGTTACTCAATAAATGTTCCCAAAAGAGTTTTTAAATACATTTTTAAATGTTTAGAGACAGACTTTGAACATTTAAGCTCACAACTAATAACTGCATTAAAGGTGCATTGTGTAACTTCATGGTGGGGGGTTCGTCACCTACTTGTTTCTATGGAGATGTCATTTCACAGCCTGGAATGTTCCACAGTATGACATTAAACATCTCTATCTCACATTTATTCAATTACAGGTGGTTTTATAGCTCAAAAATATCTAGAAAAACAGGCATTCTGACTGAGCAGGGTCGCCTCTCCAAAAAAAAAAGTCTTTCTCCATTTCTTTGTGACAAAAAAGGGTCTATATGTGATTATATTTTCAATGTAACTTAACTTTTGATACAGTTAATGTAGCATCAGTGAAAAAGTGGAATATTCTCTAAATAAGCGGGACAAGCGAGGGTCAAAATGGCTGTGACAAATATAAAAAAAAAATAAAATAATGTTTGTTTATGGCCCTCATTTGAATCCCATGGAAAAGAAGTAAGTAGTGCTCTAGATTCTTTTAGACTGAAGACAAACGTGACAAAATATCATTACAGTGACTCAACAGAACAAACCTTGTGATGAAATCTGAAGAGTGACGCATTACATAAAAAGTATGTAACTTGGAGACACATAATAATAACTTTAATATCAGCACGAGTTAATGCATTTGTTCTTTGTGACTTCATATAGAGGATTTTTTAAGGAAAGTGAAATACAGCGACAGTCCTTTTTCAAATGTTGTGCATGCTTGACACCACCTTCCTTCTCCACAGCTCCCTCTGGAGAAACGCCTCCATCCGCTTCCTTACACTAGAAATTACGCTTGTTCAGAATTACTGTTGAAGTGATCGGTCTAGAAATATTTAAGGCTACGTTCAGACTGCAGGGCTTAACGCTCAATTTTGAGTTTTTTGTGAAATCCAATGTTTTTGTGAGGTCGTTCACATTTCCAATTAAATGCAACTTGTATGTGTCTCCAGTGTGAACAGTAAATGGCCCGAAAGTGTCCCACATGTGCACTGGAGACACGACGACGTCAACCTGCAGCGAGCGTCTCTGTGTTTACAGAAGTTGTCCAAACATGGACGCAGCATTGAGCACCTGGAGATTTTAAAGTTCCTCTCGTACTGGAGCCAGAACATGAACAACTTACTTGTTTTAAGGAGGATATTGAGAAGGAGAAGGACGAGGTTTTTGGCCGTGGTGTTTTGTGGGACAGCGGCAGCGACGTCCATTGAAAGGAACGTGTGGATGTGGAGACGGAGCCAAGAGTGGTGAGTGGTGATGTGCTTTGCTTCAGTGACATGGAGTTCATTAACAATTATCGCTACTTCAGCTCAGAATAGTGACGCTTGTGGCTTGTTGATAACGTGTAGGTGGATGAATGCACTTTGGCCGTTCAGACTGAAGTCACATGTCAAAAGATCAGATATGTATCAGTTTCAGGAGCACATATCCAAGTGGCCTGGGTCACATTTGAAAAAATTGGATCTGTGTCATTCAGACTGTCATTAAAACGTGACGGCAGATCAGAGGCGTTGTTTAAAAAGAGTTTGAGAAAATGTTTGATATTTCATGTGAATGTTTGAAATTAATCTTTTAATTGTGGATTTTCTTATTGTGTTTTAATCCATGTTTGAATCAAAGGAATTTAATGCATGGTGTTTAATATAATTTATATTTTATATATATTATATATATATATATATATATATATATATATATATATATATATAAATTTTTATGCATAATGTAAAAGTTTTAATGTATTCATAAGGTGGAGGCTTTAATATAAGCCCTATTGGGTTTTTTGGCTCTTCCGGCACCTACTTTTTATCTAGTATGTTTCTTTTTATTGTCATGTTATATGTGCAAAATAAATAAATAAAATAAATAAATAAAAGATCAGATACAGGTCACATAGAAGGGTCACTTCAGGCTGCAGTCTGAACGCAGCCTTAGTGACCGACGTGTCAGTTTTTAGACCCTTCGTCTGCTTCAGTCGCGCCATCGCTGGAAGAAATCTCCAAGAATCACCTCAGTTTGACTTTGCTCCTTTTCTCCTTCTCTTCTTCTTTCAGCGACCTCATAAATGGACTTTCTTTTGCGGCAAACTGGTCGTGGATTCTCGTCCGCCATCGCAACAAACTATGTGGGAATTGTGAGGAAGCTACAGTTTGAAAAAGCCTCTAAGAACCGCTGCATAAACCACATAATCCCTGCGCGCGGACGAATCAGTTACAATAGAAACGTAGGGAGTTTGATTGACAACCTAACAGCCAATAGATAAAGAGGAAGCCTCGTTTTCTATTGGCTGATGTTTATCTGGCCTCACTACGTCCACAGTTGATAAATTTTCTTTTTTTTTTTTTTTTGGTCATCATAATTACAAGGCTGCTGCATCTCTGTAATGGTATTTTAATCTTTCATTGACAATTTGAAATCCTCCATACTACCTTTAACACACAAGTTAATCAAAAAACACACTGCACTTTTTCCGTGTGTAATAAACCACAATTTTACAGTTTATAGAAAAACCTTTAATTGTCATGTTAATATTTTTTTTACAAATATAATTCACAAAGAAAAAAAAGAAGATACAACACAAGAGAGCTTTTCAACAAACTACACACAACCATTTCGCTGTGGGGAGAACCGCACTTTCATGTTTGGACACAGAATGGAAACGATAACAATGTTTTTAGTTGGTTTTGGCTTTGATTTTGTGAAACCGTGGACGTGGTGTGGGTATGGCAAAGGCCGACATTCTTTCCAAGAGAAGAACCGATCACACTTAAACTCAGTATTATTCATATTAACATACAGAGAAGAATACAGCATTGCTACATCAATAGTCTCTTGTCCGTTTCATTAGGTACACTTTACTAAATAGTCAATAAGTAGATGGTAAAACAAACAAAACAAAAAAAATCATAATCATCATGACAACTGCATATAAGAGCAAATTACAATGAAAGCAAAATAGTATAAAATGTGCGTTTGAGTTACTAAGATGGTTTTAAATAATGCCAAATTACAAATATGTTCTTCAGAAACAAAAATGGAGTCTAATAAAGTGGACAATGGACCCCACGGGCAAACACAATCTAAATGATGACAGCCTGTGTGAAAATAATATTACACAATGAACTATACTGTGCACAAAGATCCACCCGTATGAAGCTGCACTAAACCAACACAGAACCAGGTCTAAGCCAGGACTAAACCTGGTCTTACCCGGGACTAAACTTGGTCTAACTATACACTGGATCTATGTAGTCTATGGGTCTAACGCAGGTACAACCCAGGACTAACCCAGGACTAACCCAGGACTAACCCAGGACTAAATCCAAGACTAAACCAAGTCTATAACCCAGGATTTAACCAGATTTATACTAGGGGTAAACCAGGACTAAACCAGCACTAAAACAGATCTAAACCAGGTCCAAACCAGGAATAAACCAAGTCTATAACCCAGGATTTAACCAAATCTATACTAGGTGTAAACCAGGACTAAACCAAGTATATAAACCAGGATTAAACCAGATCTAAACCAGGTCCAAACCAGGTCTAACCAAGGACTAAACCAAGTCTATAATCCAGGATTTAATCAGAACTAAACCAGGTCTAAACCAGGACTAAACCAAGAATAACCCAAGTCTATAAACCAGGATTAAACCACATCTAAACCAGGTCCAAACCAGGTCTAACCAAGGACTAAACCAAGTCTATAAATCAGGATTTAAACAGATCTATACCAGATCTAAACCAGGTCTAAACCAGGTCTAAACCAGGTCTAAACCAAGTCTAAACTAAGTCTAAAATCCAGGATTTAACCAGAACTATACTAGGGGTAAACCAGGTCTAAACCAGCACTAAAGCAGGTCTAACTGAAGTCTGTGTGGTTATGATGTTATTATAGGTGATCAAATCTGTGCACTTATTCATAAAATGGCAGTGGACACTTGGATGTTGTTCTTTGACACTGTGCACCTTAAGAACACAATGAAATGTTAAATACGTTACATTACTTCATAGTTAGTTCCTACATCGCTGCTGCTGCTGCTGCTATGTACACGGAAGATTAGTTGTTTAAAAAAAGGGACAAAATCTCCCTGAGCTCAAATCAAGTTTCATTTCAACAGTCTTCAGGACAAAACTTGTTCAAGAATCTTTAAACTAAAGGGAATTCACTTTTCAAACCATGTGTAGAAAGGAAAAGTTACAGAAGTTCCGCCACAGTAAGTCTTTTTGAAGAGTGTTGGTAAATCCTGTTACCAGAAGGTGTGAATGGGCCATTATGTAAAATAGGACAGTGGACAATTACAAGGAACACTCTCTTTCCCATCAGTTCAACATGGGACAGTCAGATAAGCATTACTGGAAATATGACAAAGCAAGTCTTACAATATTGTTCTTCACTCTTAAAAGCTTCATATTGCTTTAAAGGTGCACTATGTAACTTTTCAGGTGGAGTGTATTCTCCATGGAGATGTTAAATAGATCAGGATAAGATAAATTAGGGATGCACCGATCCTTTGAATCAGATATCAGCACAGATACTGAAAAATTAGCTGGATGTGATCAGTTCAGCTGACATCCTGATTGGACAAATACATTTCTGTAATAAGACGTTTGAAGATCATATTTGGCCCATAATGTCAATATACATTTTACCCATTGGACACACCACACATAGAAGCTTTTAGAGGAGTTTGGGACTGAAGCACATGGATCATGGAGCGAGGAGCACCTGACGCAGCGTGTACGTGTTCTGGATGTCTCCGTCCAGGTGAGGAGCTTTGTCTTTGCACCGTGTTCGTGTGTATGATTCGTGACATGTCTCGTTCACGCTGGAGCATCGCTTGTGTAGTTTCACTGAGCAGCTATAAACAGTGTTGGGGAGTAACAGATTACATGTACCAGCATTACGTAATCAGAGTACAAATTATGAGTATCTGTATTCAGGTACAGTAACTGTTTCAGTGAGCGGTAACTGGATTACAGTTACTTTGTTGAAATAAATGGATTACATGGCGGTATTTTCTGTTTTCACTTTTTTTTTTTTTTCAGTAATTCCACTCATTGTGAGAAACCCAAACAGACCGCACGCAATAAGAGCAACATAAACATCTTGTTAACGTTGGTGGTGTCAGTCTCACAATGGACGAGGTTGTTAATAATCGTCGTTGTCAATAATCTGATTCTGCATCATTTTGAGTAAAAAACATCAAATATTACTGAGTTTTACTGGGCTAGTGCCTTTATGTTTGTATTGAAAGGGATTTTTTTTTTTTTTTATAAACAGTATGACACTAACAGTAGGTGGACATAATTTAAAGCAGCAGTGATCTCATATACAAATCATTTCTCTATCAATTTTAATATGGTTCAGTAAAGACTGGTCTTTTTCTTGTCTTTTAACAGACAAAACTTCTTATGTTAAAATATCCTCGTCTTTGCTTCTCTACAACAAACAAAAGTCTGTTCATGGAGACTTGGGCTCAACAGACAATTTGAAGAGAACAAACAAGAATTTTCAGGATGCAGTTGTTACATTCATGTATTTTTAAAAAACATGACAATATCAAGTAATGCAAAGTATTCAGATTACGTTATTCACTTTAAGTAACTTAATGGATTCTGTTACAAACTACATTTTGAGGTATGTAATCTGTAATCTGTAGGAGAATACATTTTAAAAGTCACCTTCCCAACACTGGATATAAAACTATTCATAACATGTGTGCTCCATGTGCTCAGGACACCGGACGCCTTTTTCCCATCTCTCACTCTTTTCATTTGGCGATAATTGCATAGGGACTAAAGCTGTCATCTCTGTGCAAGTAACACATCCAAATACAAAAGTTAACAGTTAACCCAGTTAAACCACAGGTTTTGTGAACAGTTTGGTCATTAATCACTATGGCATTCCTCCAAGCCTAATTTGGGACTTTCATTTAGATTCAATGGGAACATTCAAGGTACGCACAGAGTATACAGCGCCCCCTGTCAGCACCTCTGTGGGGCGTTACCGTGGGTGTACGGCCTTTACGTGTTACTCAAGGATCCTAATATTATATTCTCGTAACGGCACATGCACGTGTCTGTTACTTACGCCTGGCTGTGGTTTTATTTTAGATATTTTTCAAGTACATCCCCAGTGTACATGTATTATTTGCTTCTGTACTGTACCGCACACGCCACACACCGCACACCGCTATGCAGAGGTACTTAAAGTTACAGCGAGGGAAATTTTTGAACTGCGACAGTCCTAATATCAGGTATCGGCAGAGACTTAAAGCTATAATATCAGTATCAGTATCGGATCCGAAAAAGCTGGATCGGTGCATCCCTAAATAAACCTTTATATGTGGAAATTACAATGTGAAATTACAAATTGCCCGGCATGTTTTATAAAGTATGGCATTAAACTCCACAGAGACAAGCAGCAGGTGACAGAACCAGGCCAAGTTACAGGTCAGATCTGCGTTTTAATGTTCAATGTAGGGTTCTATGAAACTAATTTGCGCATGGAGCATTTGGATCAATTGCTGTCACTCATACCGACCTCGTCCTAAACAATACAAATAAACAGATTATAACTTTAAGTACATAAACCAGGGCTGATACAAAGTACATGCAACATTAAAGGGCCCATTTTTTTTTTCAAACTGATTAATTCATTTAAGATTTTCATTCAAATTGTCATGGCAAACTTAATTACGACAATAACATTTGTTTTGATCTCTGTTAGATTATAAAGCCTTTCTGGTTCCTACAGTCATGCAAAACTAAATGAAAACGTAGAAAAAGCACCAAAAGTTCGTGGATTCGGACAGAAATACTCAGACACTCTTGAGTTCTCCCCACTTTTCTTGAATTCTGGTTCACAGTAAAAATCACTGGCATTTGAAAAAGGGTTTTAGCAGAGGCTGCGTTCAGACGGCAAGAAAGAGAAAATGTGGAAAATCCTGAATCATCGATGAATGCAAACGGAAACACAACTATGCATTCTTTAAAGGTGCACTGTGTGTAACTTTTCTGATGGATGGCCCGTCAAAACCCTTTCTACCTTCACGGAGACCAAACCAGGCCAAGTTACAGGTCAGATCTGCGGAAAAGCGACCTCGCTCACAGTCAGAATGTTGTTTTTCTAGGGATTTTTGAGCTATAAAACCAGCTGTAACTGAATAAATGTAAAGTGAAGCCGTTTAATGTCACACTGCGGAACATTCCAGGCAGAGCGATGACATCTCCATAGAAACAAGCAGGTGATGGAGCCCCAACCAAAAAGTTACACAGTGCAGCTTTAACACAAAATGACTTCAGTGGTGTAATTTGTAGATTTTTTCGATGCTTTAGGTCTTATATAATTACTAACAGAGTGGTGATTATTTTTTAAAATTTATTTTTGATCAATAGTTGATGTTTTTCGGCGCTGTTGCTGTGTTGTCTTTTTTTTTGTTACAGCACGTGACCCCATGTGATAAATCCAACTGTTAACGGTTAATTTATTGTTTTTGAGGCGTATACTCGTCAAAATTGTCTTTATATTATTTTTTTACTATATTTTTGGAATGGCAAGAAAGAGGCTTAGGGGCTCATCTGACTGAAAATAACTAACTACATAATAACTAACTGAATTACAGTATTTTTTGGACTATAAGTCACACTTTTTTTCATGGTTTGAGTGGTTCCTGCGACTTATATATTAAAATATTCACGGTGACAGCTGTGAGAGGTTCTAGTCTTGTGTGTCAATATCTGCTGCTCCTGTTCCTCCTGTACCACTGTCACTTCACTCTACTGCGCATGTCTCCTGAAATCTGAGCTGAAAACGGTAATGAAGCAGCAGAAAGAAAGTTTGGAGTGACTTGTGAGGGACTGGCGGAAAGTGGGGATGGACAGTTTCACGGTAACCGGGAGGGTGCACCGAAGTCATTGAACGGATCGACAAAGTCTGGACTTCAGTGACACCGAAACCATCCTGTCGGGATTCAGAAAGACCCGAATAATTCTAACTGGAACTGATGCTGAGTCTGAAAACAGCGACACAGAAGAGGAAGCGGCGCTCTGTTTACCTCCGGAGGTCGAGGAGTTGTTCAGAAGTGACACCGAGGATGAAGAATTGAATGGATTTAGTGATTTGGAGTGAGATGGAGAGTTTGGTAAACTTGTTCTGTTCTGTTGTTTATGTTATAGTTTATCTGAAGAACTGTTCATATGTGACGTTAACATCTGTTGTTCTCTCTTCTATTGTCAATACTAGAACCTGACTTTCAAGATGAAATGTCAGTTCCTGGTCTCTGATTCTATAAAATAAATTTGCCCCAAAAAGTGCGACTTATAGTCCGGTGTGACTTATATATGTTTTTTCTTCTCCAGTATTTTTGGCTGGTGCGACTTATACTCCGGAGTGACTTATAGTCTGAAAAATACGCTAACTAAAGAATTACATTTTTTTGGGGGGTGTTTTTTATACATCTCGGACCTCATCCAGATTTTTTCCACCGTGCGCTCTGAGGTCCGAGGTCCAGTTCCAGCTCGTGGTGCCTAAGACGAGACTTTAAACCAAGGGGGACAGGGCCTTCTCTGCGGTTGGCCCCAAACTCTGGAACACTCTGCCCCCCCACGTCCCAACAGCCCCGACAGTGGAGAGTTTTAAGTCTCGTCTTAAAAACCACTTTTATTCTCCGGCTTTTGACACCGCCTGAGTTGTGTGCTTCTCTGTGTCTTTTATTCATTTTACTTACTTTATTTACTGCTATTTTATGATATTTATGGTCTTGCTTTTATTTTGATTTGACTGTTTTTTATTGTTTTAGGACTGGTATGACAAATGTTTTATCAATTTACCTTTTGGTTGTCTTCATTTTATGATCTCTCTGCCTTTGGAAACTGCTTTGTTTGCAAAATGTGCTAAAGAAATAAAGTGGATGTAGATAAGAAAACATCCAGAAACACAAAAAAATTTACAAATAAATAATTAATATAAAAACATATTCAGGACTCAATGTAAAAAAAATAATAATAATTTTCACTAATGCGAGGTACAAATGTTTGCCACTAGATGTCAGTAATGGATTAGTTGTTAGGATTCATGAATAATGGTGTGACTTTTTGGTTCAAGGATGGAGGAGATTCCTTCTAATTAAAAAGTACGAGCAATTTAAAAACTGTTGAGCGTTGCCGTCTGAACGCAGGATACGGACGAGTGTAGAGACGAACAACATCTGTACGATATGGCCACGTACTGAGCGATATTCATGAGAAAACAGCTTTAAAAAATGTAAAATATTTGTTATTTTCTCAGGCCTGAAGGACCTCTATTATAAAGACTGGAGTCTGTAAGCTACTGTACACCGTTGGAAAAAGTAATAAGAAAGTTGTTTTTTAATGGCAAGTTCTGAATATACAGCTAAAGTCCCCGTAGAGGAGACAGGAGGAGGCTAGTACAGGGTTCCCACACACAGTGAAATGAGATCCGATCATTTCTGTTAAAGTGATAGTCTGGGATTTGACGGTGGTTATCGCTTTGTATGTTACTCATTTATTCATTTTGGAGGAGCAGACAGTCACACGAGCAGAGCTATTTAGGTTAAACTATGAATTCAACAGTTGCATTATACAATTTGTTCCATATTTTGCTTTAGGACATAAAAATGTGTCAATTTGCTCACTTTGTGAAGACAGAACTTTTTTTTTTCATTTCATTATCTAAACATGTCAAACAAGATATGAGGTAACATGTTTAATTCCAATATTGATTTGACTTTATTTTATAACACCTGTAATAGCTTCAAAAACATTGTAGATGATTAGAGTTTTTCATTTGAAACACTTGTACATGTCCTCGGGGGGACTCAGGTTCAGTTCCAAGAGTAGGACTAAACCTGGTCTACCTGGGACTAAACCTGGTCAAACCATACACTGTATGTATAGTCTATGGGTCTAATGTAGGTACAACCGAAGACTAACCCAGGACTAAACCCAGGACTAACCCAGGACTAAACCCAGGACTAAACCCAGGACTAACCCAGGACTAAACCCAGGACTAAACCAGGACTAAACCAGGACTAAACCAGGACTAAACCCAGGATTTAACCAGATTTAAACCAGGTCTAAACTAGGTCTAAACGAGGACTACATCAAGTCTATAACTCAGGATTTAACCAGATATAAACTACAGGTAAACCAGGTTTAAACCAGGACTAAACCAGGACTAAAGCAGGAACTAAACCAGGACTAAAGCAGGACTAAAGCAGGACTAGGTTCTGGGGACACAGGTTCAGTTCCAAGATTGTAGTACTTTAAGGTAACCTAACTGAGTAAATCTCAAGTAACATTTTCCTCAATTATTATTATTTTTTATATATAATAGTTCGTGTCTGTTCCTCCAGTCTGTCTGCTGCATTCTCTGCCGTATATCTCAACTAAACACCAGTCTATTGCTTTTTACAACTACAGTGGCCTCCTAGGGTCAAATCTCAGGACTACAAAACAAACATGTAGGAACCCTTTACTAAGAAATACTGGTAATACTGCGTTTCCTTTACATTAAAATCATATATAACAGACTAATATAGTACAGAGATATCGTTTATATACCCATCAGGGATCAGTCCGGTCCTTGCACGCTCCCAACTCATTTGGCTGGTTTTGGATCAGGATTTCGGAGAGACAGGAAGCGGCGCCGCTCCCGTCTGTCGCCACGGCAACGCACATCGTCGCCTGTCGCCACGGTAACGCTGGTGGTCCGTTGCCGGGGATAACCTTCAGGAGGGGAGGGGGGTCAACCGATCGCCCCTGGAAAACGTCCCGTCCGGTGCGATCGGGCAGGTTGTGGTTTTCTGAATCCACTCACAATCGTAAAGCTGTTCAATTATTTAAGGGTAGAATTATGTCATATTTAAGTTAATTAATCAAATGTTTTTCGAATGTCAGGGCTCAATGGTGTCTGCTTTAATTCCTGTTCCAGTCCTATGTCAGACAAATAGAAAGGATGCACACAGTAAACCAAATCATGGGTTTCAGTTACAAGTTTATCAAACATTTCAATGGTGAATTTGAGAAAGGTTTTGTCACTAAAATTAGAAAAAAAAAAGACAGCTTATTTGCGTAAAGTGTTCAAGTTTCATGTGTGATCAAAATCAAAATCTGGAACCTCGCGCAACTTCACGGTTCAGTTACAGGTTTATAGGCGCCATTTTGAGTACTTTTCACCATTCAGAAGATAAAATATTTAGTTTCGAACTAGTTTTGAACTTTTTTATTACTCAGAAACAAACGGATACAGCAGTTACCTAAATGGCTAGAGGGGGAACATTACTTGCAACTCCAGCCAAATTCTGTGTGAAGAATTGGCAACCACGCTTCTGTCAGTCTGCCCCAGGGCAACTGTGGCTTATTCATTACTTTGGAAATGTTTAGTGTCAGACAGGGCATCTGGCTTTTACACTGTCTAAAAGAACGCACTAGAATTTTGTCTGTACTAATCCACAGGAAAAAACGAAAAAGGATTTTTTTATTACCGTATTTTTCGAACTATAAGTTGCACTTTTTTTCATGGTTTGGGTGGTCCTGCGACTTCTGTATTAAAATGTAAATCACAGGAAACACCCACCTGAGTATATCATCTCACGTGTTCATTATTTTCACGTTGACGGCCACAAGAGGGCGCTCTAGTCTTGTGTGTCAGTATCTGATGCTCCTGTTCCTCCTATACCACTGTCACCTCACTCTACTGCACATGTCTCCTGCAGAAAGAGACTCTGTCCTGCTGCAAGGAGTGAAATCTCCAGCTGAAAACGGTAATCGAGCAGCAGAAAGAAAGTTTGGAGTGAGCGTGAAACTTGTGAGGGACTGGAGAAAAGTGGAGGAAACTCGAACTAAAAGCGAGATTTAGCTTGAGTTGGTGGAGACTACTCAGAAGTGACCCCGAGAGTGAAGAATTGAACGAATTTAGTGATTTGCGTGATTTATGTGACGTTAACAGTCTGTTGTTCTCTGTTCTATTGTTATTACTAGAACTTGACTTTTAAGATGAAATGTCTGTTCTTGGTCCCTGATTTTACGAAAATGTGACTTATAGTCCGGTGCGACTTATGTTTTTTCTTCTTGATTTTGCATTTTTTTGGCTGGTGCAACTTATAGTCCAGAAAATACGGTAAATATGTGTTAGAGTTTTGTTTCATACGAAAAAAGGAACATAGAACAGAACGCGAGAAGGAAACAGCAAAGGCGAAACACGAGCAACAAAACACAAAGCAGAACAGGAACAACTCAAATCGTCCATTTCTGACCACTGTAAAAGAGAGAACCACATTATGGACTGGGATGGATCAAACATCATTGGGACAGAGGAAAACAAACATCGCCGCTGGATTAAAGAGGCAATTGAAATATAGAAACGTGCCTACGGGACGATAAACCGGGACAAGGGGGCTTTTTTACTCTCATACACCTGGGATACTGTCCTGAGGAAGTCGGACTGCAGGTCAGACTGCAAAACCTGTTTAAATCAGCTGACCAGACAAGTCACAGCAACATCACGTGACCACTCTGAGGAAGACGCTAGTGAGCAGTCCAAACTGTCAGGTACGAAACAAAACTCAAGGTCTGAAAAAAGACCCTAATAACATAAAATATCAGAAGACCAAATACGGTAAATATTTTTGTTCTAGGTTTTTCTATTCTCTTTTTTTGGCCTTATAGAGACCAACCCCTTGAAACAGCGATTGTGCAGTGGATTCAGACACAGCCCGATGGATCCTCGCGGCGTCAGTCCATAACGCTGATATGCTGAAGCAAGAAGATCTGAAAAGAGACAGAAAAGTGAAATTTTGAGGGAATATGTGTCTACACACATAAGGAACAGAGGGACTGGTCTAACAGGTCTCCACACTTCAGACTCCGCCCCCAGAGCCAGGTGTTTGTATCAGAAACACCTGTCTGGCAGTCTTTTGTGATGTCACCAACTACTTGAAATTGCCTCAACTTGTAAAAACGACCAAAACTAGCTCCGTATCGTGAACACGTTTGAGTTTCTGTAGGTATATTTTGCAGAGTGCAGAGGGGCAGGGCAGTCATTATATGGAAGGAAAGGGTGGTTCTGCTGGAAGGAATCTGAGGAGAACTTTGTGCAAGTTACAAAACACTGGAAGTTACATCAGCAAAACTCCACCTCAACAAAAACAAATAACCCAAAAGCTGCGATTCTAAACACAGAAAGAAGCACCAACAATTCAGTGATCTGTGTCTGACTTTTTGGAGCGTTCTACCTCGTTATAACGTTGTTCCCTCATCAAGAACGTGCCTGAAGCTTTAGACGTCATCCGTGCATGTTGAAGTAATCTAGAGATCTTTTCCATTTCAGTTCAGACCTCGGTCCACAAGCATAAGTCCCCCGTTTTCCATAAATATACAAAGGGATGATAGAAAACGATACACTACAACTTCAAAAACCTGATTTGACGTCGAGTAATGTCATTAGTAGAATCATGTTGTGATAGAATGATTTTAAATGTTGTTTTTGGTGAATATAGTATTTTCAACACATGGGTTTTGAAAATACTATAATTAATACGCTTAATGTCATACTGTGGAACATTCCAGGCACAGCAACGACATCTCAACAGAAACAAGCAGGTGACAGACCCCCAACCAAAAAAGTTACACAGTGCGTCTTTAAGTCTTCCCAAAACACATACATTATTTTATACATCGATTCTGATTCTGATCATGATGACTGTTTTGTTAATTATATTTTGTTTTTACTAAGAACATATGAAAATGCATTTCATTATGACTTTACTGTACTAGGGCTGTCGCAATAACCACAAAAATGAATCACTGCAGTGCTAAGAGGCCCACCGCAGTGCATGATGGGCCACCGCGATCACCGCACGTGACCAACGTGACCCGACCCAGAGTCCTGCACGGGTCCATTTTTTGAGACCCACACCCGTCCAGACCTGTAAACATTCAACCTGTTACTGCCTGTGCCCGTGATAACCCAGGACTAACCCAGGACTAACCCAGGACTAACCCAGGACTAACCCAGGACTAACCCAGGACTAAGGTACTCCTGTGTAGACCGTCGGGTGACCGCAGGAGAAAGGACTGGTGCACGGAGGTATGTGTGTCCATTGCCCGATCGTACTTTACGGACCTGCTCCACATGCTCGGGGTTCTTTCTCTCTTAAGTCTGCAGGTACCCGACCTGGCGCAGGACACTGACCCGACCTGGCGCAGGGCTCTGACCCGAGCTGGCGCAGGGCTCTGACCCGACCTGGCGCAGGACTCTGACCCGACCTGGCGCAGGACTCTGACCCGAGCTGGCGCAGGGCTCTGACCCGACCTGGCGCAGGACTCTGACCCGACCTGGCGCAGGACTCTGACCCGACCTGGCGCAGGACTCTGACCCGACCTGGCGCAGGACTCTGACCCGACCTGGCGCAGGACTCTGACCCGAGCTGCCACAGTGAGAGCTGGAGAGATGCAGCTGTCCAAAGCCAAATGTTACTTCTCCCACTACACACGCTATATCCACACAACAAACAAGGTACATGTGCATCTACGCAACAAGCGCATCATCAGAGAGTTTTCAGAGCTGCTGGAAATATTATAACTCTAGAGAATGTGGGGTGGGGGAGGGGTATCACTGCATATCGCGCTGTTGAGCCGCTATACCGCACCACAGGAGAAATTCCCTAACCGCAACAGCCCTATCTGTGCCATCCAACATAAAATCAACCACTTTTCTTTCCCAAATATCTGAAGTTTGCTCCAGACCACAAGCTTAGAAATCACCAATGGTGGAAAGTAACAAAGTATAAAAGTAAAAGTACAATATTTAAGTGCAAATTTTAGGTATCTGTTCTTTAAGTACATTTCACAGTGGATAGTTTTTACTTCTACTTCACTACACTTGAAAACGTGTATCTGTACTTTCTACTCCACTACATTTTAAATCTGGACTGAAAAGTAAAAAGTGCTTCGAGATGGCTGAGACCTTTTCAGCACATTTGATTTGAGTTCCGTCCCAAATTTGAGCAAATACACAAAACCAGCAAGAAAAATTTAGAAATCAATTGAATCATTTAAAATCAACTAAATTCTTGATCAAAATCACTACATTTCATCCTTTAATTGTTCTAAAAATCTCAGCTAAATACTTTCTTTTTACTCTTTAAGTGCATTTTCAAACATGCAAATGTACATACACTACAACTTCACAAACCTGATCTGATGTCGAGTAGTGTCATTAGTAGAATTGCGTTGTGACAGAATGACTTTATATGTTGTTTTTGGAGAATAAAGTATTTTCAAAACATGAGTAAGTGCTTATTTTCATGGTGATTTAATGCCACACTGCAGAACATTCCAGGTAAGACAAAACATTTCCACGGACACAAGCAGCTGGCAGAGTCTACAACAGGAAAGTGACATAGTGCATGTTTAAGTTGTAATGTTTTTTGTATGTTTACCATGATTCCGGCTCGGCGCGTGGCTCTGTCTCTTCCTGAGTTGCAGCTCGTCTTGATTGAGCGCCCTCTTCTGGGACAAAACAGAAACAGATTATAAAACATGTTTACATTTACAGTTTTATTAAAGCTTCTATTGCAAATTATTTTTCATTCCAGCAGAAAAATGTAATTTGAGTGATTAGTGCATCTCATAAAATGGGCTAAGTGTCAAATGTTTGAAAAAATATCTAAAAATAACTGTTGTTGGCAAATTACAGAAAAAAAGTGTAAATGTCAGATTGTAGATTTGTTGACCTGGTTTAACTCTTTCCCCCATGAAGACAACATTTGACAACCCTCCTTGTTTCCTTAATGACGTGTTTTGACTCCTCCGCTGTTTCACTAAAGACGTGATTTGACGACCATTAGAAACGGTTTTGGTTTTTCACATGTAAACAGAGACTGTGATAGGTGGGGGCCACTACAACCCACACAAGACTGACCAGTAGGATTCAAGGATATGTTTTCACAGATTTTTTCCAAAGTTAATTGAAGTAGTGACGATTGTAGCTTCCGGAAAAAAACACAACACAAAACACGTACAATGGAAAGATTGCGGAGCTGTGGTGCACAGTTTTAGAAATAATGAGGAGCGGACGTGTTTTATGGATACGTTTAGAGAAAGTGACTTTATAGATTTAAAATGATGATGAAGTTGATTATAAAGTGGAAAACAGCGATAGCGACGGACTTTCAGAGAGTGAAACTTACGAAGATGAGAATGCCGCTGATGTGTCTGTGTGGAGTCCGGCGATATCAAAACAAAATATCAGGGACTTTATACTTGATTATGAACCAAAACTGCCTTGAAATCTGGATGTTGCTCAGGCGAGTCCTTTGAAATATTTCAGTCTTTTTTCCAAGATGTGATGAATGAATTGCTACAGAAACAAACGTTTATGCGGAGCTCTGCGCACGAGAAAGTAACCAAGATGACAAATACTGGACACCCACTGACGGGGAAGAGTTTTATTATTGTATTATTATATTATAATAAGCTAAATGAGTTGAATAAGTTCAATAAGTTGAATAAGTTAAATGGAAAAAAACGAAGTAGGTCCACACAGGTGTACAACAGGTATAAACAGGTGTACACTTGGCTATACTGTATCTGGTGATATGAAATCTGTTTAAATACTTTGACAAATATATTTTTAAATGATTTTTTATAAATATAGTACTCAGAACATGCATATATCAGATGCTGAATATAGTTTTAGTTTTTTGCACCTGATCAGGTAAACTCTCATTTTCAGTGAGCTGTTATAAACCTGTAAATGAGTTGAATCACATTTAAACATCCAGAAATGAAGAGTTCAGAGTCTAAGGTTTCCAGAAATACCAAACATGTCTGTGTTTCAATTAAGTTCATGAGTGTGAAAATCATTTCTAATCACTCGTGGAAGTCTGTTTTCTTTGATGCAGTTACGCTCTATGGGTCGCCCTAGTAATACATGTATGGGTTGTTCCTAGTAGGCGTCCAAGGGGGAAAGAGTTACACTTAATATCTCTGTACTCACAAATAAAAAAAAAGGGAAATGATTTTAACACAACAGCTTCAGAAAGTGGTGACCTTATGTAACACCAAAGATGTGATTGTTGAAAATTGAAGATTAATATGGCAAATTTGTCGAGCCATTCCCAAAGAAATAACAATAAGGGTCAACGTGTCCGGATCACAAGTTTGGATGCATCTTTCAAAAAACTGTGAACCTCCCACAGAGTTCTATAGGCCCCTCCTCCATCTGAATAGACCTGACTCACCACAGGGGTTGGAGTCCACATCGTCGAGGAGGTTTGCTGTGGAGTTGGCCGTGCCCAGTCTGACAACGGAAGCGGTTAAGTTTCAATATCGCCGTTCAACAAATCAAAGTTCAAAATGAGTCAGGTTATAAACTGCAACGGGCCGTAGCATTAACCACCTCACTGGCCCGAAGGCTGATCTGACAGAATTGGAAACTCCCTCATCCCTCTTGTCATGCCTGAAGTGCTTGAAAAACTGAGGTTCTCACCTGGGAGCCCTTTTCACGGCACGTAAACTCTTAAACTCTTCCTCGGGATCTGGAGGACGAGGGAAATATAGGGAATAATTCTCTCTTCTCCTCCTTTTCTTCTTCATCCATGTAACTCTTCAACTTTATGAGCTCTTCTCCCTTCACATTCCTACTTCTCTCTTTTATTTTTTATTGTATTTTTTATACATATACATATATTAAGTAGTAGTGGTAGTAGTGGTAGTGGAAGTAGTAGAAGTATTGGTGGTGGTGGTGGCAGTAGTAGTAGTAGTAGTAGAAGTAGAAGTAGTAGTAGTATAGAAGCAGCAGCAGTAGTAGTAGTAGTAGTCGTATTTAGTAGTCATATTAGTACTAGTATTAGTAGTCGTAGTAGCCGTAGTAGAAGTAGTAGTTGTACTAGTAGTCGTATTAGTACTCCTATTAGTACTCGCATTAATACTCGTATTAGTAGTCGTAGTCGTAGTAGTAGTCATAGTAGTAGTCATACTAGTTGTCGTATTAGTACTCGCATTAATACTCGTATCAGTACTTGTATTAGTAGTCGTAGTCGTCGTAGTAGCTGTAAACGTAGTAGTAGTCGTAGTAGTAGTCGTACTAGTACTCTCATTAGTACTCGCATTAGTACTTGCATTAGTACTTGTATTAGTAGTCGTAGTCGCCGTCGTAGTAGTCGTACTAGTAGTCGTATTAGTACTTGTATTAGCAGTTGTAGTCATAGTCGTAGTAGTAGTAGTTGTAATTGTAGTAGTAGAAGTAGTAGTAGTAGTAGTAGTAGTAGTAGTCATAGTTGTAGTAGTCGTAGTCATAGTAGTGGTCATAGTAGTAGCCGTAGTCGTAGTAGTAGTTGTAGTAGTCATAGTCATAGTAGTCTTAGTCGTATTAGTAGTCATAGTCGTCGTGGTAGTCAAAGTAGTGGTTGTAGTAGTAGTCGTTGCAGTCGTAGTCAAAGTAGCGGTCATAGTAGTGGTCATAGTAGTAGTCATAGTCGTCATAGTCGTAGTAGTCGTAGTAGTCGTAGTCACAGTCGTAGTAGTGGTGGTAGTAGCGGTTGTAGTAGTAGTAGTCATAGCTGTAGTAGTAGTAATAGTCTTTGTAGTAGTCATAGTAGTAGCTGTATTAGTGGTCGTAGTAGTAGTTGTAGTAGTCGTAGTAGTCGTCGTTGTAATAGTAGTATTTATTATTTTAATTAGATTTTTTTATTTTGTTTTGGGATGTTGGGGCAGTGGGTGGGAGGTGGGGGCAGTGTCCTTTGTTACCCTCCAATAAAATACACTCTGTTAGTCTGGTAAATGCTTAATAAACAAAGTTGTAAAAGCAAAAAAAAAAAAAAAAAAAAAGCGTCAGGTTAGAGGAGGTGTATAATAACAGTGAAAGGATACGAGTGGTGTTTCAGGAGCGCTCTCCGTTTTGATTTTCTTCTCTTCGTTTTTTCTGAAAACGTTCGGGCGATTTCGAAAAGTTTCTTCCTGGTCGCTGAGGACAGAAAACTCCATGTGAATAAAGTTTATCTTCTAATAAAAATAGTAAAGCAATGTTTTCGATTCATTGACATTATTCCAGACCAAGCCAAGACTTAAAGCTGCATTGTGTAACTTTTCTGGTGGATGGTCCATCAAACAATTTTCTTCATGGAGATGTTATTGCTTTGTCTGGAATGTTTCACAGTATGGCATTAAATATTTCTATCTTCATGGAGACCAAACCAGAAGTTACAGGTCAGATCTGTGGGTTTTTCGGGTATTTTAGAGCTCTAAAACCACCTGGAATTGAATAAATGTAAAGTAGAGCTGTTTAATGTCACACTGTGGAACATTCCAGACTGAGCAATGATATATCCATAGAAACAAGCAGGTGACAAACCCCAAACGAAAAAGTTACACAGTGCACCTTTAAGTCGTCCTAAAACACATACATTATTTTATACATTGCAGATTCTGATTCTGACGATTTTTTTGTCAATTATATTTTGTTTTTATTAAGAACAAATAAAACCGCATTTCATTATAACTTTTCTGTACCATCCAACATGAAATAAACCACAAGCTTAAAAATGACCAGTGTTAGAAAGTAACTAAGTATAAAAGTACAAGTACAATACTTCAGTACAAATTTTAGGTATCTGTACATTACTTAAGTACATTTTGCAGTGGATACTTTTTACTTCACTACATTTGAGAACGTGTATCTGTACTTTCTACTCCACTACGTTTTAAATCTGGACTGAAAAGTAAAAAGTACTTTAAGGTGGCTGAGATGTTTTTTTAGCATATTTTATTTGAGTTTCTGTCCCAACTTTGAGCAAATACTTAAATCACTTAAAATCAGCTGAATTCTTGATCAAACTCACTACATTTCATCCTTCAATTGTTCTAAAAATCTATGCAAAACACTTTTACTTTTTAAACAGGTACTTTAATACTTTTAATTGATCTGATTTTTTCATGTGATTCTTTTACTTGAGAAACTTTTGGCCCCTGTAACTGTACTTTTCATTAAGTAGCAAAACTAAGTACTTCATTCACTACTAGAAATGACACAGCTTTGGGAAATACTGAGGTGACTGTCTAAAGTAGTTGACAAAGCCAGAAAATGGCATGATACAATTTATGCAATATGAAGAGTTCTTACATTTGCCCATGTGTTTGAGTTTGTCCCTGAAGAGAGCGTCGTCGGAAACGGCCTCCATCGAAGCAGCCGAGTAATGTTCCCCTGGAAACACAAACGGACTTTAAACGAGACACAAAAAGAGAAGGTTTGGGAGTTTTGGAGTAGAGCTGTACAACGTGATTCATATAGAGATGTCTGTGCATCATGAGAGGTGACACAGTGACACAGTTGTAGAGCGTTTGTCCCAAAACGCAAAGATTTGTAGTTCTGATCAATGGGCGGATGTTTATAATCATTGCCTGGATTAAAATCTCTACACACTCATGTTCACTTCTGTAATATAAATGCTCAAAGGTCCTATATTACGCAAAATTTACTATTGTGAACTTTAAACCATGTTAAAATGTTGTTACTTGTCAAAAACATAACCGGAGTTGTGTTTTGTTTCATTCTTTTACCTTTAGTTCAGTAAAGATTGGCAATTCCAGGGCCAAATGATTCTAGTGAAGTTGTATGAAGTTTAAAAACACAGTGGAGCACTTCCTGTCAGAGGCGGTGCTAACATTAGGCAACAGTCGGTGGCCACCTAGGACCCCGAACCTGGAGGGGCCCCCCAACCAATTGCCCTCAGTGCCACTAATGACCGAGGCCTCAGAGCAATTAGATTTTCTCTCAATATGACATATTAAATGAGAGTAGTTTTACTTTTAAACAAGAAAACACAATCAAAATAGTATCCACCTTTCACGTTAGAATGGACGAGTCAGCTTGACCCTAATTTGAAGATAATCATAATCATATGTAATGAATGTAAACAAAAACGTAATTGTACTAGCAAAAAAATAAACTACTTTCAGTTCTGGTTATCTAGTAGGCTTCCTAACTAATAAGTTTCCAGTCGACTCTAATTCAAATAAAGATGTGTGTATACATACAAAAAACACTCCCAAAAAACAGTGCATTATAGTGAGGGCCCCAAACTCAAGTTCACCTAGGGCCCCCAAACTGCTAACTCCACCACTGCTTCCTGTATTACTATATGACGTCCAGTGTTGGGAAGGTGACTTTTAAAATGTATTCTCAGATTACAGATTACAGATGACATACTCCAAAATGTAGTTTGTAACATAATCCATTAAGGTACCTAAGGTGAGTAACGTAATCTGAATACTTTGGATTACTTGATATTGTCAGGCTTTTTAAAACTACATGAATATAACAACCACATCCTGAAAATTCATGTTTGTTCTCTTCAAATTGTCTGTTGAGCCCAAGTCTCCATGAACAGACTTTTGTTTGTTGTAGAGAAGCAAAGACGAGGATCTGAACATAAGAAGTTTTGTCTGTTAAAAGACAAGAAAAAGTCCAGTTTTTAATAAACCATATTAAAAATATTATTGATAGAGAAATGATTTGTATATGAGATCACTGCTGCTTTAAATTATGTCCACCTACTGTTAGTGTCATATTGTTCATTAAAAAAAAAAAAAATCACTTTCAGTACAAACATAAAGGCACTAGCCCAGTAAAACTCGGTAATATTTGATGTTTTTTACTCAAAATGATGCAGAATCAGATTATTGACAACGACGATTATTAACGACCTCGTCCATTGTGAGACTGACACCACCAACGTTAACAAGATGTTTATGTTGCTCTTATTGCGCACGGTCTGTTTGGGTTTCTGACAATGAGTGGAATTACTGAAATAAAAAAAATAAAAAGAAGGGATACAGCCCAAAATGTGAAAACAGAAAATACCACAGTGTAATCCATTTATTTCAACAAAGTAACTGTAATCCAGTTACCACTCACTGAAACAGTTACTGTAACTGAATACAGTTACTTATAATTTGTTCTCTGATTACGTAACGCCGGCACATGTAATCTGTTACTCCCAACACTGATGATGTCACAAGGTGGAAAAGAGTGTTTTCTGTTTGAGAGAACTCCTAAATACACTAGGACTTGAATGAAACAAAACACAACTCCAGCTCTGTTTCTTGATGAGGAAACATTATAACATAGATCAGAAAATAGCGTAACATGAACCTTTTAATTATTCAATTAGTAGTAGTATTTATTCAAATGTTTGCATATTTGTGTCCTATTATTTTCATTTAGATGCATGTTAAACAGAGATTTTATACAACATAGTGTATATTTAGAAAGCAGATTAGTTACAGCTCTCCCATCAAAACCCCTCAAACTTCTTTAAAAAACTGAATGAAATTGAACCACAGACAGGGACAGACAGGGACAGACAGGGACAGACAGGTGCAGACAGGGACAAAGCATCATCAGCAGGAGCATCAGCAGAGGAGGCAGGTGAGTCTCTACCTGAGCTGTCCACACTAGATGAATGAGACCGAGATTTCTTTGATTCAAACTTCAACCGATCTAAAACAGACAGAGCACAAAATGAGCAGCGGCGTGAGATGAGGCTACAGAGGCGCATTTGACCCGGGCTGTCTGCAGGGGGCAAAAAAAACAAACACACCAAACAACTCCCGAGATTTCAAAACATAACCAAATACACTGAAAACTAAAAACACATAAACCAATGGAAAAAGTGTCGCCGTACATCCATACAGACATTGTTGTTCATTTTTGTTGACCAATCCTCAGATGAGTTCATGATGCTGTTACACTTCTGCTCTGACAAAGCACTGGGCACAAACTCACACTCCTGAATGAACTTTATGAATGTTTGGTATGGTTTTCTGTTTTTTTTTTGTGTGTCCAGTTTTTCTTTTCAACAATGGACCGAATAATATTTGTAAAGAATAATATGTTGTTGTTTTTATTGTAGGGCTGGGAATCATTAAGAAGTTGCGGATACGATACATAGGCCCCGATACGATACACATCTAGATACAGCACACTTTTGATTCGATACGATATATTTCAAATTGATTCGAAATGGTTCAATACAAATAAAGGTTAAATCATGGCTGTGATACTAAAAGTCTTTGTTAAACCACTTCTTGTGTAAAGTGAATATGAAACACAGTCAATATAAAAAAATCTATTTAAAAAACTTGAAATATTGATATATTGTATTGTTTAATTTGATGATACAGTATCGATATCGTGTGCTGCTGTATCGATATATATATAACGCCAAGAGTATTTTTAGGTATATTTTACTTATTTTGTTTAAGTGCTACAATTGTGACATTTTGACTGTTTTGAGTAGTGTGATAGAAATGTAGATTGTGGAAAGATTTCTCTCAGTCTGTCTTGTGTAAAAGAATGTGATTTCTACCTGAAACTCAGACCAGTCATGAACATGTGTAAATGTTCATCAGGCACAACTGTCTCCTCCTTTAGGAAGCCCTTTGTTATCATCAACTGTATGTTCATTTAGCACCAGCCTCTGAAACCAAAGTCACTCTGCTTTGACATGTATGTAACTGTATTTCTGTAGAAATACTCAGAGCTCAAATGTTCTGGGGAGACATGGGAGATACAGAGAGATACGGTGGGAGAGAAACAGAACAGGTCTAGTCCCTGTCCATATCTGCTGTAACAAGAATAAACCTTGATCTATATTCCAAAAACTCATCAGGCTTTGCAAATGGATTCATTATTTATCTTCAAGAGATATACAGTTTTTGCCACAACAGTAGAATGGTGTTTTCCACATTAAAGTTAAACAAACTTAGTGGATTTATAAAGACTTTTAGTTTCACAGCCATGATTTTGCCTTTATTTTGACTGAACAAATCCATTTGAAATATACTGTATCAAATCTATTGAATAGAAAGTTCACTGTATCGAAAAAAGTATTGTATCATGGCCCATATCAAGGTATGTATCGTATCGGCAATTTTTTAATCAGAACTAATCAAATCAGTGAAAATGTCAAATGTGTTACATAAATGAGTTTCCTTCCTCTAAACAAGCAACAAAACTGTAGCGCTTTAACAAAATCATTTAGTAAAATATACCAAAAAATATTCTTGGAGATATATCGATACAGCAACCCATGATATCGATACTGTATCATCACTTTAAATGATACGATATATCGATATTTAGATATCTTTGCACTTTGCATTTTGTTGAGAAACTAAATATTTTATTCTAGAGATTCAGTGCGAGAAAATAACACTGAAAAAAACCATCATGATCGATCTCTGCTGAGTTCACATAGGAGACATATTTTTAAGAGATTCTTTCTAAAAAATGGAAATAATGGAAATTTTAACATCAAAATACATAATATAATAAAGTTATACGATGTAATTTTTCTGATGGAAGGTCCGCAAATTGATTTTAAGACGTTTTATGATTGGGCTTTAAACATCGATCGCCGCAGAGTGAAGCAGCAGAAGTTATCGGTCAGATCTGTGGAGAGGCGATCCCGCTCATAGTAAGAACGGAAGTTTTTTCAAGGTGATAAAAACACGCAAAGAAATAAACGCTAAGAAAATGTTAGTTTGATGCAATAATCGGGACCATCCTAGCCAAAGCAGTAACATCTTTATGGAGACAAGCAGGTAGCGGATCCTCCAATAGAAAAGTGACACAGTGTATCTTTAAGTTTTGTGCCACCGTCTGAAAACAGGTGCTGGTCAAATGCGTTGCTCTTTTGTTTGATATCACCAAACAATCTGAGAGAAAAAAACTTTGGTGTCAACTGTTCAGATCTGTATGAGCGATAGACACACATTTCTGTAACGCATAAAGATCAAAAACACCAAAGCTTGTGTCGATATCTGAAGAGAACATCAACAAATGAGAGTGGGAATATGTTTGTCCAAGAAAGAATCTATTTTACAACCGTGTCATTTCAGGAGCAGCTGTAATTCCATCAACTTTGACTTCAATAAAAATGCCAAGATGGAAATAAGTAACAGTTTTATGTGAGTGTGGAAGAACACACACTGCACACTCAGGCTTTTCTTGGGCAAATCATATTCCAAAAGCTCCAGTCGCATACTGAGAAAAGCCAGCACAGATAACAAGGTCTAAACCAGGTCTAAACCAGGTCTAAACCAGGACTAAACCAGGACTAAACCAGGTCTAAACCAGGTCTAAACCAGGACTAAACCAGGACTAAACCAGGTCTAAACCAGGTCTAAACCAGGACTAAACCAGGACTAAACCAGGACTAAACCAGGACTAAACCAGGACTAAACCAGGTCTAAACCAGGACTAAACCAGGACTAAACCAGGTCCAAATGAGGAATAAATCACAACTAAACCACAACTAAACAGAACTAAACCAGGTTTAAACCAGGTCCAAACCAGGTCCAAACCAGGACTAAACCAGGTCTAAACCAAGACAGATCCACACCATGAGTAAACTAGGTCCAGACCAAATTGTTTCAGAAGATTGTGAAGAGTAAAGATGTAAAATATCAAAGTCGCTAGAATCAGAATACCAAAAAAAGTAATGGGGCTTAAATAAATAAATAAATAATGACAAATTAAATTAAAAGTATAATTTATGATAAAATGTTTTTAACATGTTAACATCTTTGGTACATACGGTAACTGTTCAGTTTCTATATTGTCTTTCAGTCTTCTCTCAAATTATATATATATATATATATATATATATATATATATATATATATATATATATATATATATATATATATATATATATATATATATATATATATATAAAACTGAAGTAAATTACTAGGACTGTAGACTGTGATGTCACTTCCGGGTCTCAGGTGTATGAGCTGTTTAAAAATAATGGACATTGAACAATTTACTCTGTTTTTATTATTACATATTTGATACAATTTGTAGTTAAACGCACGCTTTGGAAAGGCAATTGTCTCTTGTTTAAAGAATAAAGGAAACACAGAGATTGAAATCAGCTGTGAAGTTGACTGGACCCAGAAAAGACATCACCACATAAAGGTGCACTGTGTAACTTTTCTGGCGGAGGGTCCGTCAAATACTTTTCTCTGTGGAGATGTTATTGCTTTGTCTGGAATGTTTCACAGTATGACATTAAACCTTTCCATCTTCATATCTTCATTTAGAACAACCAGACCAAGTTACAGGTCAGATCTGTGGAGAGGCGACCCCACTCACAGTCAATGTCTGTTTTTCTAGGGATTTTTGAGCTATAAAATCACCTGTAACTGAATAAATGCAAAGGTAGATGATTAATGTCACACTGTGGAACATTCCAGGCAGAGCAATGACATCTCCATAGAAACAAGTAGGTGACAGACCCCCAACCCAAAATGTTACATAGAACTGTACATGCCTTTTTCAAATGAACAGTAAAATAGTGTAAATAAATGAATACATGTGTGCGGTACCTCGCTCTAAGGCAATGAGAAACTCCCTGTTCCTCTGCAGCTCCCTCATGAACTCTTCGTTTTGGAGGAAAAGCGCGATGCGTTCGTCTTCCAGGTACTGCTTCAGCTTCTTGTCCTGTTCAGAGGGCCCCGTACTGTGAGCCGAGAGTCCGTTTGAGCCTGCGGTACCGGGCGCAGAGCCGGGGGGCGCCGTCCACTGCCCCGCTGAAGACACTGAGGACGAGGAGGAGGAAGAGGGCTGCGACAGGCTGCTCTGAGAACTCTGTGAAATAAGACAAAATGTAGAGTTAGGGTTCAGGCTGGGCGATATTTATTACAATACACAAGGAAATTTGCACTAACAATGAACCTAAGAGAGCTTAAAAGTTCCACTATTGTCAGTGTTGGGGAGTAACAGATTACATGTACTAGAGTTACGTAATCAGAGTACAAATGATGAGTAACTGTATTCAGTTACAGTTACTGTTTCAGTGAGTGGTAATTGGATTACAGTTACTCTGTTGAAATAAATGGATTACACGGCGCTATTTTCCTGTTTTCACATTATTTTTATTTAAAATTTTTTTTTTTTTTTTTTTTTTTGGTAATTCCACTCATTGCTGGAAACTAAACCAGGTCTAAACCAAGACTAAATCAGGACTAAAACCAGGTCTAAACTAGATCTAAACCAGGACTAAAACCAGGTCTAAACCAGGACTAAACCAGGACTAAACCAGGCCTAAACCAGGACTAAAACCAGGTCTAAACCAGGTCTAAACCAGGACTAAACCAGGACTAAAACCAGGTCTAAACCAGGACTAAACCAGGACTAAACCGGATCTAAACCGGGTCTAAACGAGTTATGCGTCAGTGGGAAACTGATAAAAGCTGAGGTGTGGTTGGAATTGTTGATTCTCTGAACAAAACAGAACTCTACAATGACACAGAGATGAAGAAAACGGGGACATTTTCTCATTTTTCCTACATTTTGTCAGACTTACTACCGCGAACAGAACCCACGGGAAGTTGTCATCTCATGTTTCCAAACGTCTTCCTGGTTTGTGACGTAAGCGTGAATGGAGTCTATCTAACTATTCATTTAAGCGAAGAGACTTGTAATTCGATATTAGGGGTGTGCAAAAATATCAAGATATCGTATCGCTTACAGTATTAATATCATTGGTTGCGGTATCGATGTATCAACAAAAGTATTTTATAGTAGGGGTGGGCGATATCTCGATATTTTAAATATATGGAGATATTTTTTAAACTCGATATGGATTCTGACATATCGTATATATTGATATAATGCTTATATTCAATTCTGGTTTCGCTGCTTCGCTTGTTTGCCTTCTCTTTTGTCGCACCTCTGCCTCCCTGATTTTACTGCTTGTGTCTCATTCACTCGTCACTACCACCGCGAACGCTTAAAGTTGGTGCCAGTGAAAAACTTCTAGCACCACAAACCTTTTCCACCATTTACAGACAAAACCATCAGCAGCACATCCTCTGTCACAGAGAGAACACTCATATGAACACTGAGTCCTGTCCTTTAGTCCGACAGAAGTTAAACCGCATCAGGGCACAAGAAACGCACAGTTTATGCAAATGAGTCATATTATATGGTTTTAAGTTTCATTTCTGTAAAACGTAAACACGTGTACAAAACTGCATTAAACACATGATAATGTCAAACGGGCTGATGTGGCTCTAGAGTCGTTATGTTTTATATGTTGTAAAGTTCAGTCATGTAAAGTTTATTTATGTAGAAGATTTTAATGAATAATCTGCTGCAGTGTCACTTGTATAACAGAGTTTGGAAACGTTGGGTTTGATCTGCAGTGGATTGTGGGAAACCTCACAGCTCCTGACACTGGTGAGGAACATGGATCTGTTAAAATAATGAACCTCCTGAGCTTCTTCTGCTGAAGGAGCTCATGGTTATTGTACGGTTAACAGAGTTAATGCAAAGATGAGCTTGAGTTGAGTTGTTTTATTTATGAATGAAAAGAAGGAAATATGTATTATTTCTTTTATTTTACTGTTAAATTATTATTTATGTTATTAGGGATTTTTTGTAATCTTAAATGTGGCAGAAGCCCCGTCTACCACTGTCACTTCAATAAAAAAAAGACATTGTGGAATTTGGCACATTTGTTTTTGCAGTAGTTTTGGGGGGTTATTTTTCCTGTACAGATATCGAGATATATATCGTAAATCAAGATGTAGAAAAATATACAGAGATCTATTTTTTGCTCCATATCGCCCAGTCCTATTTTATGGTATATTTTACTAAATGATTTTTTTTACAGCTAAAGTTTTGTAGCTTGTTTAGAGGAAGGAAACTCGATTATGCAACACATTTGACATTTTCACTGTTTTGATGATTAAAATAGGCATGTTTCCTATGACTTTTGCAGAAGTGGTTTAACAAAGCCATGATTTAGCCTTTATTTTTTATTGCACATAATGAATCAGTTTGAAATATCTTGCATCGTATCGAGTCAAAAGCTCACAGTACAAAAATCATATCCTGGCTTATGTATAGAGGTATGTATCGTGTCTGCAACTTCTTAACGATACCCAGCCCTATTCGATATGTTGTGATGACCGATATTATTGTGAGACCTTTCACGATACGATATTCCACTCTCCCACCAGAAAAGTTACACTGTGCGACTTTACCAGACACTTTTAATAACAGTCGGCTTTAACTAAATTTGCTGTGTTGTTGCCATAATAAAACATAAAATAATGAGATTGCAGTTTTATTGAGCCAAGTGTCTATCCCATAAAAGTACAGACACAAGACGCAGTTACCTTGATGCTGTCAAGCTGCTGCGGGAGGATTCTCAGGAAGTCATCAGGGAGATTTCCGAGTAACGGAGGATTCCAATTTTTGTAACTCCGGACTTTCTGGTGACCTGGAGGCGGCTGGGCTTCGAACCTGCAACAAACAGTGATTTAAAGAACACATATTAGGCCATTTTATGATCAAATTTGTTGAAGTGCTCGACTGTGTTTTTAAACTCCTTAAATCTTCACTAAAATCATTTGGATAATTTCAGAACTGGAATTTCCAATCTCTACTGAACAAAACGTAAAAGGAACTGTTCACTTGAAAAACTATAGCGTCATGACATCACGAGGTGGAACAAAGCAATTTGAGCTAAGTACCGTATTTTCCCTATGACATAAGGGTGAGTTGTTGTACACTTGTAGGGAGTATTATCTATGACATAAGGGTGAGTTGTTGTACAGTTGTAGGGAGTATTATCTGTTACATAAAGGTGAATTGTTGTACAGTTGTAGGGAGTATTATCTGTTACATAAAGGTGAGTTCTTATACAGTTGTAGGGAGTATTATCTGTTACATAAAGGTGAGTTGTTGTACACTTGTAGGGAGTATTATCTGTTACATAAAGGTGAATTGTTGTACAGTTGTAGGGAGTATTATCTGTTACATAAAGGTGAGTTGTTATACAGTTGTAGGGAGTATTATCTGTTACATAAAGGTGAATTGTTGTACAGTTGTAGGGAGTATTATCTGTTACATAAGGGTGAGTTGTTGTACAGTTGTAGGGAGTATTATCTGTTACATCAGGGTGAGCTGTTGTACAGTTGTAGGGAGTATTATCTATGACATAAAGGTGAGTTGTTGTACAGTTGTAGGGAGTATTATCTATGACATAAGGGTGAGTTGCTGTACAGTTGTAGGGAGTATTATCTGTTACATAAGGGTGAGTTGTTGTACAGTTGTAGGGAGTATTATCTGTTACATAAGGGTGAGTTGTTGTACACTTGTAGGGAGTATTATCTGTTATATAAAGGTGAATTGTTGTACAGTTGTAGGGAGTATTATCTGTTACATCAGGGTGAGCTGTTGTACAGTTGTAGGGAGTATTATCTATGACATAAGGGTGAGTTGTTGTACAGTTGTAGGGAGTATTATCTGTTACATAAGGGTGAGTGGTTGTACAGTTGTAGGGAGTATTATCTGTTACATAAGGGTGAGTTGCTGTACAGTTGTAAGGAGTATTATCTGTTACATAAGGGTGAGTCCAGTAACAGAATTGTTTTTTTATTTATTTTTTTTATAATCATACCTGGATGACTGACAGAGTACACAGTCAACAGAAATGGGTGTAAAAAGTCATTCAGGTAGTACACTGTGTCCTGCAAACAAGAATAAACCCGAAATCTAATTAAAATGTCTGTGAAATGTGTTTTTTTCCCAGAGCTGTCGTGAGTCATCACAGTTGTAGGGGATGTCTCTACTACAGGCTCGTACTTGTAATGTAATACTTCTTTCTTCTTTGCACAGAGACACTAAAGATATTCAAAACTACAGACAGTATTTTTTGATGAACCAAAATAAATTGTAGCTCCTTAGACTAGTAAATATAGATCAAAAATGACTTGTGGAGCAGAATCGAAACATGTGGATTTAAAAATGTTGTCCAGATGAAACCCTCTGAAACTATATGTACCACATGAGAACAAAGCTACATCTTTACTGCAACTGATGGGTCCTGCAAAAAAATTAAATCTTATTGATAATGACAAAATTATTATGGGTGTAATGATATCACAATCCCTAGATACGATATGTTCACGGTTCGATATTTATTGGGATATTTTGTGGAGGGTTACAAATGTACTTTTAAAAGCCTTGTAAAATCTTTGGTCCTGTTTATAATGTGAAGAATTAAGATTCAAAAGTGCTAAATAACAGTTATTAGTTCATACAGTCACCAAAAGGATCATGGTCTATGTAGTTCCCGCTGTTTTTTAGCTGTTAGTGTACCAAGTTTATTAAAGAAAGATTTTAAGATCACCATAACTATTGATTTAAGCAAAGAGATTTGTAATTTGATATATCATGAGGGCCGCCGATATTACTGTGAGACTTTTGATGAAAAGACATTGTGATATTTTGGTTATTTGTTATGTACATAATGGTTATTATGATCAGATTTCGGTACAAATAATCCACAGTGGACCGTCCCAAGAAGGAATTATCGTATTTTTCAGACTATAAATCACACTTTTTTTCATGGTTTGGGTGTTTCCTGCGACTTATACTCCAGTGAGACTTATATATTAAAATGTTGACACTTAAGTGGTGAGAGGTTCTAGTCTTGTGTGTGAGTATGTGCTGCTCCTGTTCCTCCTGTACCACTGTCACTTCACTCTACTGCACATGTCTCCAGCAGAAAGAGCCTCTGTCCTGCTGCCTTTAGTGAAATCTGCAGCTGAAAACGATAATCGAGCAGCAGAAAGAAAGTTTGGAGTGAGAGAGAAACTTGTGACACCGGGAGGATGCACCATGAAACTTTCCTGTAGTAACTGGATGGATGGACAAAGTCTGGACTTCAGTGACACTGAAACCATCCTGTCGGGATTCAGAAAGACCCGAATAATTCTAAATGGAACTGATCCTGAGTCTGACGACAGCGACACAGAAGAGGAAGCGATGCTCTGTTTACCTCTGGAGGTCGAGGCCGAGTTGCTCAGAAGTGACACCGAGGATGAAGAATTGAATGGATTTAGTGATTTGGAGTGAGATGGAGAGTTTGGTTAAACTTGTTCTGTTCTGTTGTTTATGTTATAGTTTATCTGAAGAACTGTTCATATGTGACGTTAACATCTGTTGTTCTCTCTTCTATTGTTTTTACTACAACTTGACTTTACACAGGAAATGTCAGGTCTTGGTCTCTGATTTTTTTTTTTTATAAAATGTCCCCCAAAAAATGAGACTTATATATGTTTTTTTCTTCTTCATAACGCATTTTTTGGATGGTGCGACTTATACTTTGGAGCGACTAACAAAAATACGGTGTGTATGATGCATTTCTGGAGCTGGATTTTTGAACCTGGGGGGTGCCAAAGGTCTGGTAAAAGCATAAATAAAAAAAAAACAAAAACGTTGTGATCACATTTCACACTGTAGGAACCTTTTACAGTTCCTGGCACAACGTAGTCCACCCTTTAAAGCTGCACTATGTAACTTTTCTATGTATATGTCATCACTCTGCCTGGAATGTTTCACAGTACGGCATTAAACAGCTCTTTACCTTAGTTTTATTCAATTACAGGTGGTTTTATAGCTCAAACAAACTAGTAAAACAGGCATTCTGACTGTAAGCGGGGTCACCTCTCCACAGATCTGACCTGTAACTTGGTCTGGTTTGGTCTCCATGAAGAGAGAAAGCTTTAATGCCATACTGCGAAACATTCCAAACAAAGCAATAACAGCATTTGACAGTTACGCAATGCACCTTTAGATAAAGTTTCAAACAGAGGAGGACTTCCGTTGGTCCTGACTTGATTCGTCGTGGTCCGGTGCATTGGGTTTTCTCACCTGGGCGGCGGTGTGGGCGGGGCCTCGGGGTACTTCCTGTCGTAGATGTGCATGTCGTAGGCCGGGGGGGAGTAAACGGGGGGCGGCTCTTCGTCCGAGCTGTCCGGCTCCAGGGTGCGCTCCAGGATCTGAAATCAAAACGCACCTCAGTCACAACCAAGCAGCTAAAATTAGAGCAGCTCGTGACGGCTTTATTTTGGTACAGAGCTCGACACAGGCAGTAAGAGACAGAGAATTATTATTTAAACCTGTCCCACCGCTCTGTATTCACTTGCAGTTATTTAAATACATAGATACAAGAGTCGAAAATGTCACACGCCTATTTTCAACAGTAAAAACACAAACATTAAAGGGCCAATATGATGTTTTATGTCTATGTTATAATGTTGCTTCCTCATCAAAAACATTCCTGGAGTTCTGTCTTGTTTCAGTCATACTTCATTTGCCACGTTTAACATTTAAGAGCTTTAATTCCAAATAAAAATAAATAAATTCTGAATAAAAATTAATTACGCTTTAAAAAGACCATGTAAACACTTAACTCCTAATGAAAATGATTATTAGGAATTAAACTTGATTCCGAAGTAAAGTTTTAAAGTCGAGCTAATTTATTCCTCGATCATGTAAATATTTATTCTATTCGGTCGTTCATGCTCGTTGTGTCGCCCTTTTGACGCGATCCGGACGATCCGGCTCCACCAGTCCTGACTTCGGAGTTTCATCCACGTCTCTTTGAATTTGTGAGCGGGATGCGGGAGTGGGCTGAGGTAGAGCAGCCTCCCTTCTCCGACACTCTTCCCTTCTCCTCCTCAGCTGACAGACGTAAAGTGTGATGAGAGAATTCTGCAGCTGCTGCGCAATTATCATAAAAACAACTGCGGAAAAAGTTTGTGTTTGTGTCCGTGGCGTAACGACAAACCGAGATGACAGAAAAGCCGGTAGCAGCTGAAGTGTGTGTTTTCTTCCGGTCGAGGTACATATGTTGGTGTCTCTGTCCAATCCCAGACACTAAGGGAAATTAAATAAAGGCAATTTAACGTGTTTTCCATGTACCGTATTTTCCGCACTGTATGTCGCACTCTTAAGCCTCCAACCCCATCAAAAAATGACCGCGTGCCCCACAATCCAGAGCGCCCTATACATGAATCCACTCGGGTGTCCCAGTATGACTTCAGTAAACTAATCGATAATTGATCATTAAGAATTTCATTGATTACGTTCATTTTAATCGACAAACCAAATGTAGGTCACTGTGCGTAGTGCAGGGTGACCAAACGTCCGTGTCCGGGGACAAACAGGGGTCCGTACATGTAGCTCCCTAGACTCAGTCAGTCTGCAACATGCCGAAGTGCAAATGTGTATTTAACGATGATTTGTACAAGAAATTCCACACTTTCCGTTCTGGTCGGGACAAGTGTGAGTCCATGTGCACAGTGTATAAAGCAGCACATGTCTTTCAGTGTCCAGTGGGAAAAAGCTTTACCAGGTGAGAGTCGCTCAATGTCGATGACGAGTCTCCACCTCCCTCCCCCCGTACGGTGTCCTGGTTTTGACAAACGCAAATACGGTCACACTAACCTGCATTAGTCATGTGGTTTTAAGTTTTGTTTCTGTGAGACTTGCACAAAGCTGCATTAAACACATTATATCTCAAACGGGCTGATGTGGCTCTAGAGTGGTTACGGTTTATATGTCGTAAAGTTGAATTTATTTATGCAGATTAGTAGTGCAGATAGTAATAATAATGATGATCATTTTAATATAAAAACATTAATGATTAATCAATAATGGATCGTTAATTCTCCCAACTATCGATTAAGAAAATTTTATCGAATGCCCATCCCTAGAACGAAAAAAGCGAGTGCAATGTTCCACTTCTAGACACAACTGAACAACTGAGTCACTGTGAACACGCCGACAATCCGTTGGTCCCAGACAGCACCCTCCATACACGCCACAACTGAACAAAGCCCAGAGTCACTGTGAACGCACCAAACAAACAAAACCACTCACCCATCACACTGTTGGTTTCCTTTAAAGTCCAGTGCAGTTTATTTGTGAAAAAAGTTCAAAAATAGACCATTCAGTGACAGTGCGTCTTATAATCTAGAGCGTCTAATAGTGCGGAAAAATTCAATTCAGAATTAATATTTTGGAGAATATTTGAATTCCAAACTATTTTATTCAGAACAATTAATGCGGAATTAAAAAACATTATGTAAACGTGGCCATTCACACAGATGTTTATATTGCTGAGACTAATAATAAAGAGTTACTCAAACATGTGTGAATGAAACAAAACAACTCCAGGTCTGTTTTTGAGAAGCTAACAGCATTCTAACGTGGCTCAAAGCTCACTTTTAAGAGTCTTAAAGAGTTTTGTGTAATATAGGACGTGTAAAGTTTGCAGCTCGTGACAGTGAAAAGCCACTATGGAGAAGTGGGGCCTCTCAGATCTAGTTTTGAAAAGGAAGTCAATGGAAATGTTTTTATTAACTAGAGTTTGTTCAGTTACAGAGCTTTTTATTGCTAGAAAATGAAACAAAAACACATGCATAGTTATTTTCCCAGAACTACATTATGACATTATTGTGCCCCACCCGCTATTGCCTTTAAACCGCACGTTCGCTGTGGTGGCACTTCCAGTTGAGCAGGAATCCCTTTTCGTTTCAAGGGAGAATTTGAGACGTGTTTTGCTGTTAAAATATGATTTAACCTTCTCGACAAATCAACCTATAATGTTCAAAGTTCAGTTTTAGTTTGTCCTCCTGTATTTGAACAGCCCGGTTCTTTGTCTGGTCAGGTTAGTTTTGTTCTGTTCAGTTAAACCCAGTTGGGCCCGGATTTTTGTTAAATTATGTTTTTGACTTTATAGAATATTTTTATACCCTTGTGTTTGCCTTTCTATTTGGTTCACTACATGGAAAAAAAACAACAACATAACAACATCAAATCACATGATCCATATGCAGTGTTGGGAAGGTTACTTTTAAAATGTACAGATTACAGATTACATACCCCAAAATATAGTTTGTGATGTAATCCATTAAATCAATTAAAGTGAGTAATGTAATCTGAATATTTTGGATTACTTGATATGGTCATGCTTTTTAAAACGACATGAATGCACCAACCACATCCTGAAAATTCATGGTTTGTTCTCTTCCAATTGAGCCCAAGTCTCCATGAACAGACTTTTGTTTGATGTAGAGAAGCAAAGACGAGGATCTGAACATAAGAAGTTTTCTCTGCTAAAAGACAAGAAAAAGTCCAGTCTTTCCTTAACCATATTAAAAATATTATTGATAGAGAAATGATTTGTATATGAGATCACTGCTGCTTTAAATTATGTCCACACTACTGTTAGTGTCATATTGTTCTGTCCCGGTGTCCCGGTGTCTGTCCCGGTGTCTGTCCCGGTGTCTGTCCCGGTGTCTGTCCCGGTGTCAGTCCCGGTGTCGGTCCGGGTGTCTGTCCCGGTGTCTGTCCCGGTGTCTGTCCCGGTGTCTGTCCCGGTGTCTGTCCCGGTGTTTAGTCCCGGTGTTTAGTCCCGGTGTTAGTCCCGGTGTTTAGTCCCGGTGTTTAGTCCCGGTGTTTAGTCCCGGTGTTTAGTCCCGGTGTTTAGTCCCGGTGTTTAGTCCCGGTGTTTAGTCCCGGTGTTTAGTCCCGGTGTTTAGTCCCGGTGTTTAGTCCCAGTGTTTAGTCCCGGTGTCTGTCCTGGTTTAGAGGCTCACAGGAGGAAGCGTGGTCTATGCAGCGTATGCAAGAAAACATGATCCACACGTGGTGCTGGTCTGCACGTTCTCAGGTTGATCTACGATGATGAAGGTGTGTGTTTGTGGGTGTTTGTGTGTGTTTGTGTGTGTTTGTGTGTGTTTGTGTGTGTACCTGAGACATGGCCCTCATGTCTCAGGTCACTATAGGACAGTAGTGCAGATTTCATGAGCATATGCAGGTTGTTTTCACCGTTGCCATTAGTTCCGCTTTGCCATTTAACTTGTAGGTGATTTTATATATATATTTTTTTATATCTCATGTCAGGAGAAGTGGGTGGTCGGCGTACCCCCCGCGTACCACGCCCACCACACGCCCGTCCCTCTCTTCTTTAAATACAAAGTGATGTCTGAATTTCCAAGACACAAATGTGTTTTTACCCGTGCTCTGCTGCCTCTGTTCTACTGGCTCCTCGACCTCGTCCACTGTGTGACTGACACCACCAACGTTAACAAGACGTTTACGCAGCTCTTATTGCCGCGTTCTGTTTGAGTTTTTGGCAATGAGTGGAATTACCAAAATAAAAAAAAGAAATTAAATTAAAAAATGGGATATAGACAAAAATGTGAAAACCTCTGTGTAATCCATTTATTTCAACAAAGTAACAGTAATGCAATTACCACTCACTGAAACAGTAACTGTAACTGAATACAGTTATTCATAATTTGTACTCTGATTACGTAATGCCGGCACATGTAATCTGTTACTCTCCAACACTGTCTATATCAGTGGCTGTGGTTGGATCGTCTCAAGTTTGGACAGAGGTTTTTCACGCTCTATTGTCCAGTCCCAGTCCCTTCTGAATTCAAACAGAATGTAAAAAGATTTGGCTGGTCAGTAGTGAGTGTGCAAAAATACTGAAATATCCATAAATCTTATCATTTAATTAGATCCAATCCACTTTATTTCTATAGCGTATTTTATAAACAAAGACAGTTTCCAAAGTGCTGCGCAAAGAAAAATAAAAATGCTCAACAATTTAATACAATAAAAACAAATAGGCCCATAAGAATAAAGGAATTAAATCAATAAAGCAAAACAATAAAAGAAACAGAAGCAATAAAACTCACACAGCGTTAAAAGCCAGAGAGTAAAAGTGGGTTTTAAGATGAGATTTAAAACTCTCCACTGTGGGGAAGTGGAACTGGAACTGGCCCTTGAACCTCAGAGCGCTGGATGAGGTCCGAGAGAAAACGTGGGGGCAGAACATTCAAAGCTTTTAAAATCTTAAAATCAGCTCTAAAATGAACAGGAAGCCACTTGCAAAGACATAAGAACTGAAGTTATGTCTTGTTTTTTGGTCCGTTAAAAGCCTCGCAGCAGAGTTCTGAACTAACAACAACAGCAAAGTGCTTGACGATATATTGCCAAGAGTATTTTTTTGTACATTTGTGTAAATTATTTTGTAATAACGCTACAATTTTCAATTACAATTCACTGTTTTGATAATTAAAAGAGCTGTTTTTCATATTCACTTTGAATTTCTAGTATAACAGTCATGATTTAGCCTTTGTTTTTTACTGAACAGTATCGAATCAATTTCAAATACAGGGTGTCCCAAAAAATTTGTCAATTCACAGGACAATAATTTCGGCAATTCTTGTTGAAATAACCTCAAATCTTCACAGAATGTTTAGAAAATGATTAAGATTTTATATTTAGTGTTTTATTTTTGTTGTGTTTTCAGGTTGAGCCGTTCACTCCCAAAGAGAAGTCGTTTTGCGTCTTTGAATCTGCTCACACACATATTATATGTAATCCTTTAGTCCTGCATAAGAACCTTCCGCTTTACATTTTTGGTCCCAAGCCCAAATTTGCCAGTTGGTGAAGTTTTTTGAGATTTTGTATTGAAGCTGCACAGTCTTGGGTGAGTGTGTGTGAGAAGATTACAAAATGCAAAATGACTTCTCTTTGGGAGTGAACGGCTGAACCTGAAAACAAAACAAGAATAAAACATGAATTAAAATTAAAATCTTGATCTGTTTCTATACATTCTGTGAAAATTTGAGGTTATTTCAACAAGAACTGCCAAAATTATTGACCTGCAAAATGATGTCACATTTTCTAAATCAAAAGTGCACAGTATCGAGATTTGTATCGTATCAGGGCCTGTGAATCCGTGTATCATTCGTCCATTCGTTTTTTCAATATAAAACCAAAAATAAGAAAACGAAAAAAACATTTGTATTCTTCATTATTTGTTTCCAAAACCAAAATGAAAAAACAGATAAGGATTTGTTTTTTCAGTTTTCGATTTTGTGTTTAAACGAAGAATGGAAAAAACGGATAACGGCCGTTTCCCGTTTACGTGACTTCTGTGACTGCGATGCCGGATTTTGCACCGCGTACGGACTGAACCAGGACTGATCCAGGTCCAGGAACAGACCAGAGCAGGACTGAGACCAGGACCAGACAGAGACTGAGATCAGAACTGAAACTGGGACCAGACCGAGACCGAGACCAGACCAGGACCAGACTGGGACCAGACCGAGACTGAGACCGGGACTGAGACTGAGACCAGGCCGGGACCAGACCGGAGGGTCAGAGCCCACAGCAGGGCCGGAGCTCAAAGCTGAGGCTCGGAGTCAAAGCTCGGAGTCCGCCCTGGTCCCGGACCTGGATCAGTCCTGGTTCAGTCCGTATGCAGTGCAAAAGTTCAGCATCACAGTCACGGAAGTCACGCAAACGGGAAACGGCCGTTATCCGTTTTTTTCCATTCTTCATTTAATCACAAAATCAAAAACTGAAAAAACTAATAGTTATCCATTTTTTCATTTTGGTTTTGGAGAAAAATAACGAAGAAAACTGTTGTTTTTTCGTTTTCTTATTTTTGGTTTTATATTGAAAAACGAATGAACGAATGATACACAGATTCCTGTGTACCGAGGTATGTATTGTATCGGCGACTTCTTCATGATACCGAGCCCTCCTGGTCAGGCAGATTCTCCCCCGCTCTCCTGCTGCACTCACCTCTTGCGGGATGCTGTCGTCGGAGTCGGAGCTGTCGTCCGAGCCCTGTCCGTCCAGGCTCATCTGCAGCAGCTGGTCGATGGTGGCGTCCACGGCCCCGTTGTTGGACCTGAGGACGCACTCAATCACCTCGTAGTCCATGGTGGGGAACATGGTCTTGAAGTCCTCCATGGCCTGGTTAAACTCCAGACGACGCACCTGGGACACACACAAAACACACATTCAGACTGCACTGGAATATGATGGAGTATAGTAGGGACGGGACAATAAACAATAATCAAAAGGGTAAACATTAATAATTTGTGGGACATTTATATAATTGTGAGAACAGCAACAAAAAGAATCGCCTTTTTCACCAGAATGTGCAGAAAAAAGCGACTTCTCCATCACGTTTTTTTTCTAGATCATTGTTATTTTCACTTACAACTAAATAAATAATTTAATAGTTGTTTAAATATGGAACCTATTCAAAGGGTCTATTGTCTTGGGCCCCAGGGTGTTAGGGGCCCAGAATTAGACCTTCTTCCTATTAATTTATATTACAGGGGGCCCATTGAGTCTTGTTGCCCCACGTCTCCAAATTTCTGTCGATAGCCCTGCCTATTAATAAAGTTAAAATTATAATTATTCATATATGGGCCCGGTCAAGCAGAAGTAAACAACAAGGCCAAAAATTCAAGTTAATTCATCTGATATAAAAATGTATTGAACAGATACATATGTACTCTAGTTTATAAAACTGTTGACCTTTTTTCTGTACCATTTTTGGTTCTAAAGTTCCATATGTTTTTAAACAGACCATGTATGAAACATGGAACAAAAATTATTTCCCAAATTTCAAAGACCTGAAAATCATGTCAATAAATGGATGTATTTCATCATATCTTGTGTTATTCCATCTTTGAACTGTTGATGAAGGGACATGATTTTTCAAAAAAAAAAGTATCTAAAATGATAAAAATTTGCTTGGAAGGACTGACATATTTTATAGAAATAGTTTCCTTTCATTTTGAAGTAATATTAAAGTATTCGGAAGAAAAAAAGCGACAAATGATGTAAAATCCTGCACCTTCTACTTGTTTGTACAATTTTCCCTCCGTTACTTTTCCCTCCGTTACCATGACCTTTCTTAATAAAAAATCTCATTACTCAAAAAGTAAGAGGTTTTTCAACCTAATCTTGTACCATATGGTAGAAAACTATATGAAGCAAATATTCAAACCAGTTTGTTAAGGATATGGAAGTGAGAACCAAGAGTTATCACTGTTTGGATTTATTGCCCAAAAAGTGCTGCATATTTCATTCCCTCCGTTACCGACATGAGTTTTTAAAATTTTTTGTCAACAACTTGAAAGAATCTCACAGGTTTAACTTGACCCTGTTGGAGTGTAACTCTTTCCTACATTCTGATACTTTACTTATTTCAATAGTCCCTCTAGTTTCTGAATAAGAGACATTTGAATGTACAAAATCTGCCCCTCGTTTCCCTCCATTACCACTTGACCAGACCCAACTGTAACATTTTTACACTGTATCGCCCCATGCCTAACTGAGAAATCCATCAAATTTAAATTAATATTATGATTCAGTCATGTCTATAGTCTTTATTTTCTTTTCTTTAACCTTTATTTAACCACAAAAGTCCCATTTAGTTTCAAAGATCTTTTTTCAAGGGAGTCCCTGGCCAAGAAGCATGAACAACAAAACCCACAGACAAACATTTCCTATAAATCAATGTCAAACCTTCAGTGATCAGATTTTGAACGGAGAGGTCCACAGCCAATCCTCTGTCAGTGAAAGAAAACGGTCTGAAGCAGAGTTCAGATTTTGGGGGAGTAAATAGGGAGGGTTAGTGATGTTTGTGTTAATGTGCATATGGCGATTCTCTAATTTGGATTTAATTTGTGGGATAATACGTGTTGTAAATATAAATGATACTTTTAAACCAGTCCAGAAACAATTTGTTTAAGAAAAGTTGAAAAATGTTTAAAATCCCATATTAATGACATCACAATATTGAATTCTGTCCAAAAGTATGGCACTAGTTATGCTGCATTTTCTTGTATTCGGGACTTGGGTAAAACCAACTTCCACCTCAAGAAAGTGCAAAGAACGGCCAATCAAATCAGAGTTCCAAAACACAAACTCAAGCCAGTAGTGCAGACCGAGTGGGATGGATTTCTGAACATGTAAAGTCAAACTGCCATTATTGAGTCGCAGACAGTTAACGTTACCTATCAGACTCGATTTATTAGCAGGAGCTAGTGATACCTGAAGTTAACTACACGAGCTAACAAAAACTACATAAGGTAACAAAATAAACATTAAACTCTTTCTCAGGCATCATTATTTTCCAGCCTGTTGCAATGGAATGCATTTACAACAGATGTCGGGAGAACTGACCAAATGCGGCCCTCAGACAAATTTTCCTTGGCTCTCAGGCTTCCAGGTGAATTGGCCCAAATGACCTTGCATCAATTAAAAATGTATTTTTTACTGCAAGTTTTTTGAAAATCTACCTGAATAAAGCCGATATTTAACATTTAGTGTTTGGGTTTTAAGGATCTTAGCGTGAATAAAGTCTGATGGCTCATTCTAAACATTAAACATGCTGTTAAACATGCCCAAATTTTAATTATTCACTGTTTTGAGCTCCAGTCTGCGTCCCTCGATCGGCCTCTGCTTCATCTGTGTTTACATATGTGGCCCTTGATGAAAAAAGTTTGGACACCCCTGCACTACAACATTCAACAGAATGCAGCATTTCAAACACATTTTTCTCTACTTCAAACATGATTTCAACAAAATAAAACTGCTTTCATATCATCCATCCAAATTTCTTCTGCTTATCTTATCTGGGTCGTTGGGGGGCAACAGTCTGAGCACGAACTCCCAGACTTCCTTCACTCTGGACACTTCGTCCAGCTCCTCCGGGAGACCCTGAGGCGTTCCCAGGCCAGTCGAGAGACATAGTCCCTCCAGTGTGTCCTGGGTCTTCCCAGAGGGACATGCCCAGAACACTTCTCCAGGGAAAACTCATTTCAGCTGTTTATATCTTGTCCTTTTCCTTGTCTTTTGGCTTTCATATCATTTTATCTGTCAAATATTCATTTCTGTGTACATTAGAGGAGTTTTGTCTCAGTGTTCTACATGGTTACTGGGTAATCGGTATGAAAATTTCATTTGAAACCTAAAAAAATGACCAAACTGGGAAAAAATGCAAATCTTTAGTAAAGTAAGTTTAGTAAAATCTTAAATATAATGATCTTAACCATGTTTTAGTAAAATGAGATGTCAAACTTGTCACAGGCACTTTTCTGAGGAATTATTGTTTAATAGAATGTTCCACAATATAGCTTTAAACATCTCCATCTTCCAACGTACGGAGATAGTTACATTTTATACTGTGGAGCATTCCAGCCAAACAAACATCACCATGACGACTAGGCCAGGCTCAGACCCTCCGCCAGATACCAGAAAAGTTACACAGCGTAGCTTTAAATAGCAGTGACACTTCCATTTCTTGATGTTTGAGTTGAGTGTGGGGCGTTTGGTTCGTCTCACCTGTCTGTTGGGCCGGCTGTTGTTGAGATGGGCTCCTCCTCTGGACCCTCCATTGCTGCTGCTCCTCCTGAACAGACTGGTCATCTTTGGTCCAGCGCCAAGCCCAAACAAACGTTAAAATTCACTTCAACACTCTCCACTTCAACACTCTCTGCTCTCTCGGTGTGGACTGCGTGTGCTCTCAGTTCATCATCGTAACATGCCAGGCGGGAATTCCAAAAACTGGAGTGTTTTATCCACAGTGATCGGACAGTTTCTCTTAGTCCAACATGGCTGACGGTGACGGAGGAGAGAAAGAGAATAATCCAACGAATAAAGGTGAGTTCTGAAGTCACCAGGAGGAGAGAAGAGACGGGGTTTTCATCGCTGCATCATGTGGAGCTGTGGAGAAAACAAAGGGAAAGATTAAATAAAAAACGTGTAAACTTGACTACACTGTTCTAAATGAGTGCTTAGAGATTAAAGGCACAGTATGCAACTTTCTGGAGGTGGAACAAGACCTGCACGATTCCATGGAAACAGAAAGTTAAACCATACTTTGCAACTTTCTCCTTTCAGACAGATAAACTTTATGCCATGGTGGAATATTATAGCTGAGAGAACATGGAGACAAGCAGGAGCAAGTCAGGTTTGTGGAGGTGCAAGCCCCCTCCCAGTAAGGAAGCAGAATGTCAGAATGAAAATAATATGCCAACTGACAACCTAAATAGAAATAATATTTTTCATCACCAAATCAAACTTTTTTGTAGTGTCAAACATTAAAGGTTGTATAGAGGATTTTTTAAGGGAAAATAAATACAGCGACAGTCCTGTTTCAAATGTTGTGCATGCATGACACCACCTTCCTCTTACACCGCTGCCTCAGTAGAAACATCTCCTCCCGCCTCTTTACTCTAGAAATCACACTTGTTTACAGCCAGTGCGCGTTCAGAATTACTGTTGAAGTTTCCTGTCTAGAAATAATTTAGCGACCGACACGTCAGTTTTTAGACCCTTTGTGTGCTTCATTCACGCAATCGCTGGAAGGAATCTCCAAGAATCACCTCAGTTTGGCTTTGCTCCTTTTCCCCTTCTCTTCTTCTTTCAGCAACCAAAAAAACTGACTTTCTTTTGCGGCGAACCGGTCGTGGATTCTCGTCCTCCATCACAACAAACTTTGTGCAAACTGCGAGGAAGCAACAGTTTGAAAAAGCCTCTAAGAACCGCCGCATAAACCACATAATCCCCGCACGCCGGCAAGTCAGTTACGCTAGAAATGTAGGGAATTTGATTGACAACCAAACAGCCAATAGAAAATGAGGTAGCCTTGTTATCTATTGGCTGATGTTTATCTGGCCTCACTACGTCCACAGTTGATAGATTTTCATTCTTTTTTATTTTTTTGTCATCATAATTACAAGGCTGCTGCATGTCTGTAATGGTATTTTAAACTTTCATTGACAATTTGAAAAAAATAAAATAAAATCCTCCATACAACCTTTAAATATAACTTGAAGGTGCATCACGCAACTTTCCTAGTGGAGGATCCATCTAGGGCTGTCGCAATAACTGCAAAAATGAATCACCACGGTACTAAGAGGCCCACCTCGGTGGATGTTGGGCCACCGCGATCACCGCACGCGACCACGTGACCCGACCCAGAGTCCTGGGTCGGGTCAATTATTGTAAATTAAAGAATTTAAATATTCTCCTTTGAGTTTACATGGAAATAATAATTCAGTTTACATGGGAAAATCGCCTTTATTTAATTCTTCTCAGCGTCTGTCTCTAGCATCTTGTCGTTACTCCACGGACACAAACGTGATCCAAACTTTTTTCGGAGTGGTAACGATGATAATTGCACAGCAGCTGGAGAACTGTCTCATCACACTTCACGTCTGTCAGCTGAGGAGGAGAAGGGAAGAGTGTCGGAGAAGGAGGAAGAAGACAAACTGAGTCAACGGCTGTTCTACCTCAGCCCACTCCCACATCCCACATCCTGCTCACAAATCCAAAGAGACATGGATGAAAGTCCAAAGCCAGGACTGGTGGAGTCAGTGTGAGATAGTATTTTGATAGTAAAGTGCCCCCCCCCCCATAGGATTTTGACTCCCCTTACTTTTTCTTTAGTAGTTACTTATCTGATCATTATTTCTCATGTCATTTACTTTTATTATATATTGCTACATATTCCCTTTTTTTTAAGGTATTTTAAGGAATGTTTTGATGGAGAACGACTTGGTATTTTCTGTAAATGTATTGTTAAAATTGCATATATGTGCATATATGTCACTTTTTATATTGTATTTTACATTGTTATGGTTTTTAGTTTGTTATTTTCAGATAATCCTTAATCATAATGTCAATTTAGGCAATGGTTTGTAAGAATAACGACCTTGAATTTAGTCATGTTGTGTTATAATAAATATATTGGGGGTCAGATTACTACAGTCATAGGTTTCCTCTATTTAACTACTCAATTAATCAGCCCTGTCTATTTTAACAAGATTCCAAATCATTATACATCACTTTAATTACCTAACTCATTAATAACTACTTATCTCTCGAAAATATGTTGAAAGAACTAAGTCATTTGTAACATTCAAAAGTTATAATCCACATAAAAAATGCATCTAAGTTCTTCAAAAAACACTTTTAAATATGTCAGTATGTTTTAATTTGCAGATATAGTATTAATATTCAAAGTTTTTCTACAGAATTCAAGTTCTTTTTTAATAAAATATAGATTTTCATAGCGGGGGGTCAATATACCATAATAGGACCCAACGAGCATGCGCCGAACAACCGACATTATTTTTAAGAAGAATAAACGTTTACATGATCGAGGAATAAATTAATTTGGAATAAACCACCCACTTACTTCAGAATTAAGTTCGATTAATCATTTTCATAAGGAATTAAGTGTTTACATGGTGTTTTTAAAGCGGAATTCATTTTTATTCAGAAGTAAATTACTTTTATTTACATGACACATTGTAGACAAAGCAGCCCTCCTCTACAAATGTTACACAGTGCACCTTTAAAGATTAGTTGTTACCTCATTATATAAAAAATGAATTAGTCACGATGAATCCCGTTAACAACCCTATACAGATTTGAATAATTAGGCAAAAAGAAACAGAAAAACACACCTAAAACAGCTTTAGAACGTTTTTAGAGCACAGAACTATATTTGAACCTTTGTTGTTGACAGTTTGGGTTGAACTCGGGTTATTTCTGCGCTCCATTTGAAAGCCTTTTAGTGACCGTGGGCAGGCAGCAGCTTCAGTCCAGCCCAGATCTTCCCAACAACATCATATTAATCTGCACCCAAGAACGCGCTAAAATTAGAACTCAATCCAGGCCTCGCTGTGCTCTCAGGGACTGCACTTTAACACTCAAACTTAACACTGGAGACATATACAGAGGACGTATTATTATTATTAGTGTTGTCAACGTACGCAAAATGTCAAACGTGATGTCAGTACGAAGGAATAGACTTGTTACGGACATTGTTGGGAAGGTGACTTTTAAAATGTATTCCCCTACAGATTACAGATTACATACTCCAAAATGTAGTTTGTAACATAATCCATTAAATTACTTAAAGTGAGTAAAGTAATCTGAATACTTTGGATTACATGATATTGTCAGGCTTTTTAAAACTACATGAATGTAACAACCACATCCTGAAAATTCTTGTTTGTTTTCTTCAAATTATCTGTTGAGCCCAAGTCTCCATGAACAGACTTTTGTTTACTGTAGAGAAGCAAAGACGAGGAAAAACATGAGATGTTTTATGTGCTAAAAGAAAAAGAAAAAGTCCAGTCTTTCCTTAACTATATTAAAAATATTATCGATAGAGAAATGATTTTTATCATTTTATCATTATTTTGATCACTGCTGCCTTAAATTATGTCCACCCTACTGTTAGGTGTCATATTGTTTAGACCTGGTTTAGTCCTTGTTTTAGTCCTTATTTTAGTCCTGGTTTAGTCCTGGTTTAGGTCCTAGTTTAGTCCTGGTTTTAGTCCTGCTTTTAGACCTGGTTTTAGACCTGGTTTAGACCTGGTTTAGCCCAAAATGTGAAAAACATGAACATACCGCCATGTAATCCATTTATTTCAATAAAGTAACTGTAATCCAATTACCGCTCATTGAAACAGTAACTGTAACTGAATACAGTTCCTCATAATTTGTACTCTGATTACGTAACTCCAGTACATGTAATCTGTTACTCCCCGACACCGGTTACAGATTACCTACTTAGACCATAGAACATCATTTTCAACGTTAAACTGAAGTACTTTGTTTTATAGCAGTGCGTTTTTGCTTTATTTACATTTGTTGAACTTGTAAAAGGTGGAAGAAATGTTGAGATTCACGCCTGTCTAATGGTCCCTGATGATCTCGGGTGTTTTTAATGGACGTCTACAGCCAATCTTCCGTCCGTAAAAGTGTGTGGGTTGGAGTCCAGACTTCAGCGGAAGAAATTTGATCCGACGAAATAAAATTGTGTGGTTTGCAAATGATCGAGCTGCAGTTTCAAATGCTGTGGCCAAACCTCCAAAGCTCTCGTCAGGTCTCTGAAGCCAAGCAGGGCCGGACCTGGACCTGGAACCTGGATTGTGTACATAAACAAGACACTTCACCAGCATATGAAGTTGTAAGAATGTATCTTACAACCACTGAGTGAACAGTCAAGGAATAATGCATACAATTTTAAAGCAATTTTGGGTAAAAGGACTGGAAAATGCTCTATTTTTTATTCACAAATGTGGGTCACTTTACAAGTTCTTTTCAGCAGTACGGTGCACACTCGTCGGGACAATGCGAGGAAGCTACAGTAGTCACTATCGTTGGTTATTATTCTTGTTTGCTCGTATGGTAAAAATAGGCTAATTAACCGTTTCCTGAGGCAGAAACGGAGGAAGTAGGTCAAAATTTACACTGAGGCTTCAAGGCCCTGAGATGAAACTGCAGTTCATTCAGGTTTAAACCCACCTCACTTCAGTCTTGGTTTAGTTCTAGTTTTTTTTTTTATCTGGTTACTGTATTTTTCGGACTATAAATCGCACTTTTTTTCATGGTTTGAGTGTTTCCTGCAACTTATATTCCAGTGCAACTTATATATTAAAATTTTCAGACTGACAGCCTTGAGAGGGCGCTTTTGGCTTGTGTGTCAGTATCTATTACTCCTGTACCACTGTCACTTCACATTCTACTGCGCATGTCTCCTGTAGAAAAAGCCGCTGTCTTGCTGCAAATAGTGAAATCTGCAGCCGAAAACGGTAATCGAGCAACAGAGAGAAAGTTGGGAGTGAGTGAGAAACTTGTGAGGGACTGACAGAAAGCAGAGATGGTGAACACAGCTTCACGGTAACAAGGAGGGTGCACTGTGT